ATAATTACATACATACATGCATACATACACATAATACATAGTACACATACATACATGCATACGTCCGTACGTACATACATGTTAACACCCGCGCTCGAACAAGTCAGGCGAGGTACAGGACTTTCAAAACGTTGGAGTTCGCACGTACATACATACATGAACACATCCGTAGTCATACATGCGGACATCCATGCATCATGCCTGCCTGCATGCTCGCATGCCAGGCACTACGTCGCAATGCATGCATGCAGGCATGCACACATACGTGTACGCGTAGACGCGCACTCAGCAACAAACAAACACAACAGGAATGCACACATAAGCTGCACTGTTGCACGCATCCCATCCCATGTGCGGCGCAGGACAATCCAGGAATGCTGGCAAACTGGCAAACACTATAGCCAGGTGCAGCCAAGTCTCAGCCTCGATGAGGCCAGGAGGCGGTTCTTGGGCCTCGACACTGAGGAGGCAAGACTGAAACAGAAGCCTCTTAGAGACAAGTTTACAGTGTTAGATACGGGAGCTTGTCTTGGGCTTCCTAAATGTCTTTATCTGCTCCATGCTCTAAAACTCCGCTTCGCAAGTCTGGGAAAGAAACTCCTGGCCTGTGCTGGATCCACATTGGTGGGGGATTTCCTCGGCTGCAGAATGATGCAGTACAAAATCCGGAATTTCCGTCGCTCTAGCCCCCGTCATCTCTCTTGCAAGGCAAGACAATCAGGATCATGGCCCATGCGGCCGCACCTACGGTCTTCGACTAACTTCCCACCAGGGCACAGCGCGAACTTCGGCCTGGGTGCAAGTCTCTGTAATCATAGTAACAATGATAGCAGTATTCATGTATGAGTATTTAATTAGGTATAGAATAGTCGTAGTAGTAGTAGTAGTAGTAGCAGTAGTAGTAGTAGTAGCAGTAGTAGTAGTAGTAGCAGCAGTAGTAGTAGTAGTCGTAGTAGCAGTAGTAGTAGTAGTAGCAGGAGTAGTAGTAGTTTTTGTCACCGGAGTAGTAGTAGTAGTAGTAGTAGTAGTAGTAGTAGTAGTCGCAGTAGTAGTAGTGGTAGCAGCAATATGTAGTAGTAGTAATATTGGTAGTAGTAGCCTGGTACATTGTGCAGTAGTGGTGCCAAAGACATGTTGCGTCTACACCTCACCGCTTCCTGGCAGCGCTTTGCGTTGTGTGGGCTGTCAAAAGAAACCCAGCCTGACCACAACATCAGATTATACTATATTTTACATATTAATCCATTCTTTATGTCGTATGTTACTGTTATTATTGGTATCATTTTGATCACTATTACACACACATATACATATAAATATAAAAATACATATATATATATATGTGCACAACGACTATTGCCAAAACAATGAAGAGGAACAGCGTGTCTGGAAGCTCGTCAGCACGAGGTGGGCTTCGCTGCCTTAGCTTCGACTTCTGGAGGAAGTTGCAACTTCAACGCCCTGCTGCATTATGCAATCATGCACTATGATAGAAGAAAGATAAGATAAGACAACACAAGATAATGTGGTGTAACGTAACACTTTCTGCAGATTTAAAACACAGCGAGCCCCTTCAAGGCTCCGGCTGATACTCCAGCATCGCCGCAAGTAGCTCCTGCCATCGTGACACTGCGACGAGTAGCATCCAACTACCCTTTTCGCCTAAAAGAACCCAGAAAAAGCCCAAAGTTTACAAAGCCCAAACCCCCCCCCCCCCCCCCCAAAAAAAAAAAAAAATCCTAACCCTTGCAAGTCTCGAAGTTTACTTTCCGACGCCCAAAGACCCCCCCAAAAAAAACCTGCCCATCTCCTGGATCGGGATGTCCAGAGAAAGGCCCAGGCTTAGGGCCGGCGCGCCTCACTGAGATCTTGTTATAAGGGACTTCATTTAAGCTATCGTAATGAGGAAACCACACGACTAAGTACTATAGATAAAGCATGATTTAAGTTATCATGATAAGGAAACTGTACTATTTACTACTATAGAACCCTATTGTGGTAACTTGAATTAAAATCCTCAACAAGAGCCAAGCTCAGACAGCTACTTCTAGGGCCTTCATATGTAGAGTAGGGCTCCCTTAAGGGATTCTTCTAAAAGGCTCAATGGGGATTGCTGTAGACGGCAGCCCTAGTACTTAGATGGGCTGTTGCATAGGCCTTTTTAAACAATCATTTGTAAGGGTCTCAGCAGGCGTTTTAAGGGTTTTGGTGGGGTGCTGTGTGGTTTCGTGGTTTCGTAAGGGTCTCTCTGTAGGGTGTTATGAGGTGTTTATACTGGGTTCCCTTTTAAGGATTACAGGATGTTAACGGTTTATTTCGAGGTGTTTTATGGTTTCCCAACAATCTTAAGAGGGTTTAGGGCTCAGGGGACCAAAGTAGTTTATCTTTTGGGGCTCTATACCCAACCACAGTACAACTTGCTTCGCAAGTCCTTTACCAAGTCCTTCGGTTTCCTTCGATCCTACAAGAACTGTGCTACGGTACAGTTCAGGGCAGATTCTGAGATCCGGTCCAGCAGTCCCAAGGGTCTCCTGCGAACGCCGATGATTCAGGCTTCGACGGACAGGTCAGGCTTTGCGTTGGCGCGAAACAAAGAAACTGCGTACATGTAAGGAACCTATACCCCGGAAAGCAAAACAGCATACCATTCGTCTACATGTCGCTCGTGGCTCCAAGGCGCCCCGTACAATCAACACGCTCAAAAAACACCTCTGGCATACGAACCCATAGCATAGACATCAGGGGTCAGAGGAGCTACGCAGCAGGTTAGGGCTTAGGGCAGTTCAGGGTTTGGGACTACTTCATTTCATGTCTTCAGCTGGCCCGTGGTGGGCACTTATCATCAGGCACATCTTGGAGAAACCGGTGCCTTGATGCCGATGGAGCTGCTCACGCAGGAGACGTGAACTGGCAGGGTAAACCCCATACCGCCTCACCGGAGCGGTTGCGAATGACGGCTTCCGCATCACGAAAGCAAAAAGCCTGCCTTCGCAGCGAGTATGTCTGCGCAAGCTCAGGGCAGAGGCAAAGAACGGAGAGAAGGCACTGTGTTGAAACTCGCAGAGCTCGGATGAGCTTGGAACACTTTCATCTCAATGACTAGGTGTGGCGCCGGCTTGCCGATGTCCAACATCTTCGAAGTTGCCCTATGTAGTTTCAACTGTAGTGCGGCAGACGGTTTCAGAAGTCGTCAAGAACACAGCCAAGCTCGATCCAGATCGCTTCGGAATGCAACACGCCTGTACCAGCTTGACTGTCCACACTGTGCTGGGTCAGACCGGTAGCAGAATCGTACGCTCTCTCCTCTCTATTCTGTGTCTGGGTTAACGACCTTTCCTGAGCTCGTGCTGCTAGTCCACAAGTCTGGGCCTGAGACAGTTTTGGGCTTTCCACGGTGCACGGCTTTTCATCTCTAGGCTCTTGCTGGATGCGTCGCTCTGTCTCTTCATTTTTCCAATTTCGGATGTTACCCCATGAGTCACCGGAGAAGGAGACCTGCAAAGGTTCAGGGGATGAACCACCTAGGCACGGCTCAGCTATCTATCACTACTCTAAAGGCCTGGCCAAGCCACGTGCAAACTAGGTCGCCAGAAGAAGGAAACCACCTTTAACCTGGAAAACACCCTTTTTTGCAGCAGGCCCTAAATACTAAACCCTTGAGGTCCCCCCATTCTGGTAGCGTAGGCTCATGAAAGCGGAACCCAGATGGGCCCCACATCACCATCCTCGAAGTTAGATGTGGGGAGTCCGAATCCGCCATTTCGGGGTCAAGTCAATGGCGCGAGACTTCACGGAAACGCATGTAACATGTCGGATGATATAGAAAAGCATTAGACTAGAATGTAGAAGAACACAGAATACTGTGGAATAACATGGGCAAACGTAGCATAACATAGACTAGCACAGCATCATATGTACAAAGACGTAGATTAGTATCATATGCTATACTATCAACCTCTGCTATATAGTATGCATGCCATGTCCCGCTGCCAATTGTAGCACCTGCGCAATCCCCGAGAATGAAGTTGAGCCTTCTAGCAGTCTAACAAGACAAGAAAGATGAAAACCAAAACTGCGCGACAACAAAAAAAACATAACAACAAGAAAAAACAACAAGAAAGGCAATGATTATCCTCTCTCTTGTTCTCCGGTAATTCGCTTGCCCAACCCGAAGCACACCTGTCGCATGCACTTACAGCTTCCTGGTCCGGCTCCATGTGTCTGCGCCAAGTAAATTATCCACCCGAAACGGCTGAGGATGCATGTGGGTCCACCCGCAAGGCGGCAACACCGTCGGACGCCGCATCAATCCTAGTATCTTAAACAGTTTAAGAATCAGAAGCGGGATATTGAATAAGGTAAAATAGTACATCTTTATTAAGGAGCCGCTTGCCAGGAAGATCATCCGTAAACACGAGGGCTGGCTGCTCCTCATCCCTCCTTCTCTTTGAGCAGAGCGATCTTCAATTCACTTGAGACAACCGTATACATAAATCCTATACATGATTAACATCTTATGCCCTCAAATACCCTTAACCCCAAAGCCTAAAACCTACCCGCCCTCGTCGTCAGGGCCCCCTGCCAGCAGTGTGCGGGCAACCGGCTTTCGGCTCTCCTTTAGTCGGAAGCCGAGGTGATGAGGTTCTGTGGCTTGAGGCTCGGTTCAAGGTTCCTTTGCGGACATGTTGGACCGTAGAAGCTTTTTTTGCGACCCTGCTTTCAAGAGGTCTGCCCACTTTGGGACAATGTGGCGTGCCACTTTGTGGAACTAGCGCCACTGTCGCTGTTATCCAACGTCGGTGAATCCCGCAAACGGCTGTGTGGCTTATGGGATTGGGGATCGGTCTCGGACTCTTGTTACTCAGAATTGAGGGACGGGGGCATCTGGGCCACGACCGATTACTGCGAGCATCCACATGCCAAGGCCTACAGGCTGTAATTAAATTACATCTGCCCATCTTGGGGCACATGAGTCGAGTCGGTTCCAGGTCCTTCCAGGTTCAAAACGACATTGCCACATCATCTACATCTACACCCAGCTGACACAAGAGGCGGTCGAGCTTCTTGTCCATGTTTGCCACCGTTTTCTGGAGTTTCTGGATATCGAGCTCTGATCGCCGGAGCTGGTCTTGCTCCACTCGGTCCACGTCGGTGACCCACTGGGTGAGTCGGCGCAATTGCGCCTTCATCTCCACAGTGGACACGGGCACGTTGAACACGTAGATGTCCATCACTGCGCTTACGAACTCCTCAACGCTCAGCGTTGGGTCCTTGTCATTCAAACAAAGCTTGCTGGCCAAAAGGTCAAACAGATCTGGAAAGTTGAAGGTGCTGAAACCTTTGTGGTAACTGCTGGCTCTTTCGATCCTGGGGCGGTCGACGCGAACAAATCCCTCCACATGAAACGCCTCCTCCAGCTTCTCGGCGAGTTTCCTGAAATCTTCGTGGCCTTCCAACTGCTTTCGCTCTTTTTCGCGACCACTGTTAGCGAATAGTATTGCGGGCATTAAGCTCACAAGCCCAAGTGTGATCATGATCAAGATGGGGAAGAAAATTAATCCCAGTTCGGGCTATGCCGACACCAGCGGAAAGTACAGCTCCGAGAGATTGTCGCCAGAAAGGAATTGGACTAGTGAAAGCATCGCCTTGGGGAAGGTTTCAAAGTTATTTTGTACCAAGTTGCGCACGTCGGGATGATCCGCAAGCAAGTCTGCGTCGTTGATCAGCACGGTGTTCACCATGGTGTTCACCAGGCCAGCGAACACGGCTAGCATGATCGCCACGAATATCGTCGCCGCCGCTATGGTAGGGAAAGAGAGGATCATCCCATCAAGGAGAACCCACATGGCGTTGAAGCGTCGCCATTCTTTTGAAACTCGTACCAGCTTCAACAGACGAAGCAGACGCACTATCAGCAAACATCGCTGAAACGCCTCGCATGAGCTGTCGGAGACACAGAACGGATTGGGTATCAGCGCAACGGCACCAACCAATAACAGCAAGAAATCCAGCAGCATCCACCAGGGATCAGTTTTGAGCTCTCGGCCTAATACTCGAATGATCCACTCTGCCAGGTAGAACACGAGGGCAATCCGCTCGATCGTGTAGGTCACATCAGCAACTTTCTCCCACTCCCACGCACTTTCCACCACAGAAATCAAACCCACATTCACAAGGATCACCCCGACGACCAAGCACCTAAACTGCTTGGAAAGAAGTAATTTTTGAACCCAGCTCTTCTCCTCGTCGTCTGCTGCGAACGGAAAGAGCTGAAAGACACGGTACTCGGTTTCCAGGCGCGTCAGGGTTTTCTGAATGCTCATTTCCTTTTGGCTGTTCTCCGACAACCGACTCCGCGGATCCTTCGAGTGATGGGGTCCTGACTGCTGCGGACTAGCCAGAGACGATAACGAGTGGACTTTGGCAGCCCACCCCCCTCCCACGATTTGCTCGTGAGCCGGGACATCCGAGCAGACTTCCATGTTCGGCGACATATCCATGTTCAGCGACATTGCTGTGGAGCCAGCCAGATGTCTATAAGTATGGAAACAGAAACACAGCTTGACAACTGCTGGAGCCCAGAAGAGTCGACAATGCCACTGGCACTCTCTGACCCTACTCCCCGAATGGAGAACAACTAAACGGATCCTAAACTTTACGAAGTACTATGAAAGCTGTAAAGCCGCAGGGCCGAAACTGTGATCTGCAAAGGGCTTCTTGGGTTCACGCATGGATATGCACACTCAGGGGAACATGCAGGGATCTCCACTTCCAAATTTGTAAAGCCCTCGCAACTTCTCTGAACCTCCCTAAACCCTAAAACCCTAAACCCCTTTTTTTTACACCTGGACTATGCATAAACCCTAAACCCTTTGGCAACTGGCCTGCTGCGACTCCGCCAGGACGGAACCCTGAAACCCTGAAACCCTAAAACCCTTTTTAAGCACGGACTCCTAAACCCTAAACCCTAAACCCTGAACCCTAAACCCTAAACCCTAAACCCTAAGGAGTGTATGCCGGCAGCGACCCTAAACCCTAAAGGAAGGAGTCGCCAATCCAGGGGCCCCCCGCATTCCGAAGCGCCTGTTCTGCCGAGCTTAGGGCCCGGAGTGCCGCTTCCTCAGCCGATTTTTGTATTTGGGAGTTTCCGAAAATGGGGGACCCTATAATATAGCACCCTAAATAGTAGGATCCTTCTTATGAGGACCCCAAAATAAGGCACCCTAATTTTTGGAAACTCCCATTTCTTTTTGCCCTGTACACTCTCACATCTCGGATAAGCCAGGCGAGGTCTATCGGTACGAGTCGACGTGCCACTTGAGTTACCATGATTTGGAGCTTAAGAGTGTGGTTTTTCGTCTTCGGTTTCTGGTGGTAGACATGGGAAAGGAGTTTTCACTCTCGCATGTGGAAGGCATTTAGGGTAAAGGGCGGTCGTTTGGTTTCTGATAAATATTTACTTGACACCTGTCCAGCTCATGGGGTCGCACTGCAGAGGAGCAGACTAGACTGCAAGTGAGTCGATTACAGTAGGGTTCTGCGTTGGAGGTTTAGACCGGGGGCTTATATCACCCTTCTATCTCCCAAACCCTCCTCCCCCCCGCCCCCGCACGGCATTATCAGCTGGATTTATATGAAACGGGAATGCCTGGGTTTGTGTTTGACGGGTTAAAGAGTTGAGGACGTTTATGGAACCCCACACACGAAGACCCACCGACCCACGCCCACGCCGCCACACGCCCACACTGGCTGAAAGGCAACTTAGTCGCGTTGCGGCTTTGAAGATTGGCTTAGGGGAGCGCGTTAGCACATGAGACGAAACGTCGATCCATAGCAAGGGAATTACAGAGTATTGCTGGTGGCAGTGATTGCAGCTGAGCTTCGTAGTCTGCGAACTGAATCCGCACTTCTGCCAGTGCCAGCAGAGCCTGAACCGAGTCAGCTTCTGTGGATCCACGTCTTGCGCACAAGATATCTGCACTAAATGTGAGTAAATTCGATGCACTGGAAGTGTTCGGTGATGCCTTCACATCGCCAGCTTCACCTGCTTCCATTCGCACGGCTTCTGAAGCCATGCTCATCGCCTTGCCGTGGAAACGCATTCGCAGCTGCTCCTATAAGCATTCGCATGTCATGCCTTCGGGGGTCTGTCCCGGAACAGGGACAAAACGGGTAGCTCAGTCGCGGGTACGCCCGCGCACTGCCAGCCTAGAAGATCAAGTCTAGTCTTTTGAAAGCCCACCTTCTTGAAATCCTCCGCAAACAGGGCCACCTCATGAAGCAAGATGCAGTATTGCCGAGTTTGTGCTGGAGCTCATCAAACGCGCCTTGGCCTGCGCCTGCAAAATGCGACTTCGCCTTGGATCGGACTTGCCATCTGTGCGCCGCTGCCGCAAGAGAATCTGAAAATCTTTGCCACAATAGACATTGATTCGTAAGTATCTTAAAGAATACATACGTACATACATGTATACATACATGTTAGTCGCATATATACCACATGTAATCACACATAGAGAAAATAATGCAATAAACTTTGACGTGCGCTGCTGGTCAGTTTCCCGAGGCACTGACAAGGATGCCACGGGTCGGGCCGAAGCAATGGCAAGAGGCCGCTCTGCGGATGGCGCCTGGCCTCCAACCAAAGGGGAAAAGGAGGGACCCTTAATGGGGACCCCTACCCTATACTGGGCGATTGTAATGGGTATATTATGGCTATATTATGGCTATATACCTAGGGGTCCTTATTAGGGGTCCCTCCTTTTACCCTTTGATCCAACAGACATGACTTCGGGCCGGCTACTTGGAGGGTCATGGGACTTAGTAAGTAAGGTTATAAGTACCTTAATTGGGGTTATAAGTATATAGTTGCCCTAATTATAACCCTAGTTACTAAGTCCCATGATCCTTTAAGTACTCGTAACTGATTAGGGGCCACCAATTCAGCGTCTCCTGCCCATGCGGCCCATGCGATGAGCACATAAGCGCTTGAAGTGCACGAGAAGGATGTGCGAAGGAGCTGTGCTGGAACATATCTGAACGATCCGTCATCGAGAAGTTTCATGAAGTCTTGATAATTCCGAAAACGGGTTATTACAACTTTAGTATATATACTAATTCAGGCCCCTATGTTATTGTACTTACTCGGCGGCCTGCGCAGAGCAAAGCCTCAGCCAGGAGGAGGTTGGCCTGCACCAGATTCACGAACTCCCGAACGGGGCCCCGGAGATCTACCCGTGTGGGAGTTTCCGAAAATAGGGGATCCTAATATAGTACCCTAAATAGTAGGATCCCCAAAAGGACCCCCAAAGGTACCCCTATTTTCGGAAACCCGCGCGCGATCGGGTCGCAGCTCCCTCGTGGCTCGACGCGCTGCCTCGGCATCAGAGGGTTCTGCCGCCTGCAAGTCACAAATCCCACAGGAGCTCTCAGCATTGGCAAGGACCGACTGCGCCTGAAGTCGCCTTGCTGCCTGCCACATTCATTTCTCGCTCAAAGGCCCACAATGCTTCTGCAAAGAACAGCAAGCATGTTCCAACCTATGTTTGGGGCTGCCATGTCCAGATGCTCACGTGCACGTTCTATGCATTAGTTTAGAGTATATGTCGCATGCGTTTGCGCATGCGCTAGGGGCGCTTTTCAAGAACGGAGACCACACCAAAACAATATTATTATAACAATGACAAGAAAAAGACAATGAACCGGCACTGGAAACTTCACGGAATGTCAGAGCCCTGATATCCCTCGACTCTCCGAGCCTCTTGGGCCGTTCGACCATGGCCCGTCTCGAGCAGGCAGCGCACCACTCCCCTCAGTGCCTTCAGAATCTGAAGAGATAGATTGAAGTAGGCTGGTCGGCATTCTGGGGGAACACACCAAAACAATACTTGAAACATATCGTAACACCCTCTCTCCTTGCGCTGAACCCCTAGACTCTAACCCCTGAACCCTAAAACCGTCTGAGCAGCATGCATGGACATTGCTCCCGTCAGCATCTAGAATCTTCCTGCCGCACACTTGCATCGAATACAAGGTTCGCTCAGTGACTTCGGGCGCCCCGTCCTGTACATGGCATAGGCCTGCTGCAGATTGCCGCTGACCCTCTGCTCTTCTGCCTGTCAGTAGGAGAAGTCTTACCTTGGGCTACCAAAGGACTACCAAAACCTACTTCTTTGCGGGGTCCGTATAATTCTGTAGTAGGGTTTGTAACAAGAACCCAAGGTGTAATGGGGAAAACGCAAGCAAGCCCCCTTGTGCCTGCTGGAGATTGAGTCCAGGCTCTGCTAGAGTGCCACGGGCGCGACCTCATGGCGGAGACGTATGCATTTTGATCCTGCAGAATCTGAAGGCAACCACTCCCAGGGGACTGCATTTGGGCTTGACCCGCAGGCTTCCGTTTTCGTCATTAGCAGAGTCGGGTGTTCGTATTGGAAAGGCACTGTGAGGCGGCGAGCCAGGAAAGCTTGGGCAAAGCCGCGGCTCGAGCTCGCTTGGTCAAGTTGGATTCGCTTGCACACGCGACTGTGGCTCCTGTAGCTGCATGCAGATGTGCCGGAATCTGGTTCACGTACTGTCGCGTGCACCATGTCAGAATGATCGGCTCTTCCCAGCATTGCCGATCATCTGTCAATGAGGTGCCCATGTCCACCGCTCACCACAATGCATTCCACAAGTCCTTCATTGGAAACTTCCACCTGTTGCCTTCGCCAGGAATGCCAGGAATACTGCGCACGATGGTGGGGATTGCCTGACAGAGCTTCCCCTCGCCAGGATACCGCAGGAGCGGCACGAAATCCTCTGCCGCCGCAAGGTTTCCCTCGCCTCCTGCTTGGTGGTGCTTGTTGATCATTGCAGTTCATGTCAAGGACGTCAAGGGCGACCTCGTGCAGCTGCAACAATCCTTAGATGCATAGATTCTGGCTTCACATGGCTGCACCTCCAGCATCCTCCAGCCATGCGTCAAACGTGTTTCTGCATGCATCTTCCAGTACTTCCAATGTGGTAGCTGGACCCCGGAAGATTTCAGATTTGGATTAGAGCTCAAGCAGGGCAAGAATCTTGATGTCCTGAAGCGCGGGTGATCCGCCGTGCAGCTGCCGACGAAGAAGTACGTTGTCACTGCGGAGGCGTTGGCACTCCTGACAAATCCAGCAACCTCTCTCCAATGAGCACTCCCATATTGGCATTTTGCATAGCGTATGTCTCCAGTGGTCCAAGACGTGCCGATTCTGCACTCTGCAGAGCTTTTACACTCTCGATCCTGTCGCAGGACTTGGCGCTGTTCGTCAAGCTCAGCAGCTCTAGCCTGAGCCACCGACCTCAAGCATTGAATGCGCCCCACCAAGCAATGTGGGCAACATGTTAGTCAGCTTGCAGTGCACACTCCGGGGCTGTTGGGGTCCAGGCTCAGCCGTAGCAGCCCGCTCCACATGCGCCGTCAAGGCTCCACACTCGTCGTGCAGCATACGCTGAACCTCGCGATTGGAGAGAAAACTTGCTGAGCCATACAGGAGTTCCGCAAGGCACCGCGTGTGGCCTCGTGTGCGGCATGGAGAAGCTGCTCGCTGCGCAGCCTTGATGTTGGATGCACACCGGGGGCCATCTTGGCATCACAGACATTTCTGTAAGGCCGAGGGTCTCGTCTGATTTTGCTGCCTCCAGCTCCATGGTCTGAATTTCGAACCTGCTCAAGAGACAAGCCTATGCGTTTCATGGCCCGAAGCTCCTGACCTCCCCCTCGTCGCAGTCAGCTCTTCAATGGCAGCCGCTTCCCTGGCCGCTGCCTTTGCGTCGATACAAACAGATGCTCAATGTATTTGCGTGTATGTGTTTCTTTGTATATATATATATATATACCATATATATATATACCATATATATATATATATACCATATATATATATATATATATATATACCATATATATATATATGTACATGTCACAATCATGAATGCTCTGTGCGACCGGCACAAGCTTGCATCTGGTCCGACCGCGAAGCTGCTCCTGTGTTGTTCATACTTGATCTCGCTGCACACTCTCTACTGTTCGTCAGCGCTTGACTGCAGGTTTGGCTTGAGGCGTGTGACTGCTCTGCCATAAGGTTCCATGCCAAAGCTGATGAGAAAGTCTGTAAAGCTCTTGGCAAAGAGAAGAATCAACATTCCCCCTTGGGTACTACCCCCATACAGTAGCAGTCTTTAATCGGGCTATATTTATACCCAAATTCCCCCCGAGTATCTGCATTGCAAGGGACGCCCTCTTCCGCATGCCGGATGTCGGCCACGAGGCTTCGCAAAGCTGCCGCCGCACGCTCCGACCTCGCAGAAAAATGGGCACTCTGCTGTTGATATCAATATGGCAGCACGAAGCGATAGCACACTGTGATGAGCATGACGTAGTGTGGGCACATCTTCTAGATGACCCAACTGACAGATATGCGCACCAGAAAGTCGCGGTCATTCCTGCAGTCGCCAAACAGGTCAAGTTCCCGAGTCCTGGGTGGGAGCCCTCATTTTGTACTGTCTGTGCCCTCCACGAACATGATAGGTTGTGATGCTGAAAATTAAGGCTTATTGATGCTTTTGGTAGGGGCCCTGTGCAGTAATGGGCATCTGGGAAAGCCGCGAGGATCCAGCAGTGCCGGCCTCTGCGTCGCGGCGAGATCCACGACTGATTGCTGCTGGAGCGCCAGGAGTTCATCCTCAAGAGAAGGTATCACGGCATCACGGAGACGCTGTTAACTCCGCAGCTGCATATCGCACTCGATCATTACAGATGAATCGCAGAATCCCTCGGCCTGCAGCTCATTCTTCGCACTCAGAATCTGAGCATGTGATCGCGCCACAGCAGCTGCCTCGTCATCGTGCCGCAACATTTAGCTGCCAGATAGTGTGCTTCCTTTCATCTTCATTCATTAGTATTACCGATACGACTTTATCTTAGCATCAAATGTTAAACCAGGCCTCTTCCTTTATCGCCACCAGCTCCGCAGTCATGGTTGCCGATGCGTCTCGGCGCAGACCTTTGCGAGCGGGCACCCGCCGCGGCACAAAGTTTGGCGATTTTTTTGACACTCACTCTCGGACACTCTCGGACTAGCCTGGCAAGGTCTGCAGAAGTAGGTTCGACGATGTTCGTTAGCCCGCCCAGCAAGTTTGGCGGTTTAGGGTTCCCCTCACTAAGAGAGCATGTCGGAGAAAACGGTGTTGGACATGAAAATGATTTCCTGGTGCTGCGCAAAGTTGCTGTCGCATTCTTGGCGTGACTGCTGGAGCTCGAAGTGGACCATCCTCAGTTCACGAGTACACTGTGTTGAGATCCGACTCAGTGCCGTCCTCGATGTTCTGAGCTGTTTTGAAAGGTGTAATCTCAACGATGAGCATGCTCGCCCATGACACGTTGCGAGCTTTGGCAAGTCTCCGCTTCTGCTGCTACCCCTCGATCTCGAGTCTTTTAAAGAGTCTTTACCCCGGGTCTGTGAATTTGCAACTGGGCATTGGGAGTGGAGGTGTGCCGGATTCGGCAAGACTCGTCTTTGCGTTTGGACGTGCTCTTTTTCGCTGCGAACGGATGGCAAAGGCTACGCTTCTCCGACCTCCTGCTGCAACCACCACAGCATGGCCGATTTAGCACGCGCTACGATTGCCAACTCCAATCCAAGGCCACCAGCGGATTTGAGCTTAAACCTGGCTTGGACCGGCGGCTCGAAAATTCCAGGCACCAATATCATAGGGATCCTTAGGGGTGTAGGGGGGAGGGGTGTAGGGGACTATATTTCCTTAAATAGGCCTTATTAGTCCTTATTATGGGCCTTGACAATAACAAACAGAGCTCAGCTGGTAAACGTCTGCATTTGTTTCCCGTTCCCCACCTTCGCAACAATCCCGAAAAGCCTGAACAACTTTACACTTACCTTTGGTTCGTATAGGGAATGGAAGAATGGTAGTAATAGTAGTTATCATTGTACCCCATTCCTCTATTCCCTACTAACCCAAGGTAAGTACATGCACACGAGGCTCCGAGCAACGTCCTCCTCTCTAATCTGGGCCTCGATGCCTGCAGGACGATCACAACTTACCCTTCGCGTTCTCTTTCCAGCGACACAACCGGTCTCAAGCAAAGCGCGCGATTCCAAAAAACTGAACTCACAAAGTGACCCTCGTCGAATGCACAGCACGCAGTGAAGAATTTGGCCACAAGCCAGAGAGCCCGGCCTGCTTGTATAAGTTGCTGCTTCAGTTGTGAAACATTGGCAGCCTCAGGTTTCTGTCTGACTGTCAGTAGATTAGCACCAAGATGCTTATTGTAAACACTTGGTTCCGAGGACGGTCGAAGGAGGGCTTGAAGCGAGGCAGGTGCTCAAGCTACTTCTACGCCTATACTTCTATGGGCACGCTACGTATTCATTCTTTCCATGCTCTTACCATCAGTGCTGCCGCAGCATGTATGAGGAAGCCGTGGCGCTGTGTTGAAGTCCTGCCATAACAACAGGGAATCCCAGCCAATGGACGAGGCCAGAATATTCAGACTTGCGTTATCCCCTACACTTGTGGTAGAACCCTTATTGACCCCTCAAAAGGAACCCCTATCGACTAAGGCAGCAGCATGTTGGCTCTTCTCCAGTGACACTTCCTGAGCACGGACTCACTGCCTGCATCACGGTCTAAAAGAAGCAGTCTGTCGCATCTTCCACCGATCAACGTGTGTGCGGGACTGTTTCAAGCCATGGTCCCAAAGGCTCCATGTACCTTTAATTATAGTAGATACTTAAGCCTTAAAGGAGTCCCCGTATGTGGGTACGTTAAGGCCTAAGTATGTAGCATATGGGTACATGGAGCCTCAGGGAGTCTGAGAAGCGAGCTCTCCTCAGTTGTTGCATGCTTTCCTCAAACCTTGGTCGCGCCAAGGCTGTGCACCTATATGGGTGGTTGTCAAAATTAGGGTTTGTTTTCGGGTACCCTAAACAATAGGTGCCGTACTATATTAGGGACCCAAAAAAAATTTTGACAACCAACCATATGGGAGTTTCCGAAATTAGGGGTACCTTACCATACATACTTTCAAAGGCATGTGCCCACATACGCACATACATAACTACATGCATGTATGCATGTAGGAATGTAGGTATATGTAAGTATGTAAGCATATGAATGAACAAGTCAAAAATCATGAAACAACCATCAAATAAAACATGTACAAATGTATAATTACATGTAATTTTGTACATCATTGTGTTATGTATATATAACGGCGGACCTCAAGTTCGAACAAGTGGCTGTGCTTCTGCCTGACCGACGGCTGCAGCCACCGCTGAATTCTCGGCCTCCGCCTTCTGCGAAGGTTACTGATAGTGTTCTTTACAGTCCAAATCCTACCAAAGGTTCTGTATACAGATTCTAACTTCTCGTGTTCTCACGCTGCGTCCTGTCGAAATTCGCTGATTTCAGCAGGGGCGCTGTCCTAGAATGTCGCTTTCGTACGGCAATCTCAAGTGCTGCAGAATTTTGTTGGCTGGTGGTACCGGGCCTGCAGAGATTGAGACTTTCGGGACGCCTCCATCCTTCCGCGCTCCAGCTGTGCCCTTAGATGCATACAACAAATGTAGTGTAAAGAGATGCGATCGTCAAAGGCCTTTATGGTCGAGGTTCAGTCTCTTCTGCATTTCAGCCTCCTTGTCAGCCAAAGCAGCTGCTTGCTGCATGCGCTGGTCCTGCGTCCGATCAGAATTGAAATCTACCGGTCAAGCAAAGCGAGATCTCAAGGCTTGCAGGAAGTTCACGGGGAAGCTTCTGCCTTGACAGTGCTGTGATTTGGTGCCGTGTCTGTCGCGCAATCACAGACATCCACGCAACACGCTATTCTGAGAAAGTCTCAGGCTATCGAGACGAAGAGGAATGTGCATGAGCAGCAAAACGTGGTCCTGGACTTCCTTTTGGGCTTTCAAGGCGCATCGCATCTCATCCTTCAGTTCCTGCTCGGCCAAGTGCAGCCTCCTTAGCCAGATTTTGGTAAGCTGCAAGGCCTTCTTCTCCAAGTTGTGTCCACAAGCCAAGCCTATAGACTTTTAAAACTCGGCCACGCTAGACACTATGGTAACGATATGTAGCGATAGTACTGCCGACAAACTCCTCGCCAAGCTGCTGGGTCAGTTTGCGGGTCATGCGCGACAGAGTATTTAGCACATGCTGCATCTGGTCGTCTTTCAAGTCGGTGCCTGCGTTTTCACACAGAGGCGTCTGTCTGCGAAACTCCCTCGCTGTGTGGACATGGCCTGGTGCCGCACGCTGAGGAGCAGCGGGAACCGCGTGCCCAATAGTATCCTGCACGTGAAGTCAGGCCTTCGTAGCTTGGAGGGCATATGCAATACACCATACATGTATATATATATATATATATATATATATTATACATATATATATATATATATATATCTATATATATATATATATATATATATGTATATATATATATAATATATTTATATATATATATATATATATATATATATATATATTATATATATATATATATTTATGCGGCATCCCGAACGTTCGGCTGGCCTCTGCTTCGACTTGTTCTGATCTGACTTGACTCGAAGGTGTAGACGACAGCTGCTCCATCTTCGCCTCTTCAAACAAGGCCACTTCGACACCTACCGTACAAAGTGCAGGTTTGGTCTTTGAAGCGCCCCTTCTAAGCCGTGTAGCTCTCTGTAGGTTTCGGGCCCGACACGAAACGCCCCCTAAACTGGCCTAAACCCTCAATCCAACACAAAGTTGTGTTCTTTGCAGACGAGGCGCCACTTCTGACCGCAACATGTCACAAATACGTTGCTGTTGCGCTGCCTGCTGGCAAAAAACAGAAAGCGAAAACTGGCATCATGTAGAACTAACCTGTTCACATGAGGGCACGAGATCCTTCCAGTAATGTACCATATCGTCAAACCTGTGGGTCGTAAAAGGGACGTGTTCGCGGCCTCTTGAAATACAGTTTTCTTCTACTATAGGGGCCGCAACAATTCCCTATACTATTTTGGGGGTTCCTTATTATAATTGTAGAATAATGGGCCCCAAAACCCGGTTCTAATTATTAAGGCCCTATATTAATATTAAGTCAAAAACTTGCCCCAGCAGCGCCTCTGCCTCTCGTATTGCCAGGGCAGCAGCGCTGTGCTGCATGGACATCTGGGAGGCTGCCTGTCCATTTCGAACTAACGAGTGCGCATAGAGCTCCCAAGCAAAAATTATTGCTTGCAAAGGTGCCTGCTGCTTCTCCAGAAGAGCTTGGCATTCAGCCACCAGCGCCGCTCTGCTGTTCTGAGATTCCTGGACTTCACACAACAACTCCCGTCAAAGCCTCTCCGAATGAAAACAAGCCATGCAGGCGAGTTTCTTTGACCTCGTCACGAAGCTCCCTTTCTGACTTGCTCTCCTGCAAATGCAGAACAACGGGAAGGGGGCGCACTTTTTGACTGCTTCGAGGACGGGCCGCGGTGCGCATGCCCTCATGCCCAGGCTGCTGCACTTCACATCTATACTTCAGTTATGCCGTATCAAAGGTTTCCGGTTGCGTACCAGGTTGTTACAATTGTTACAATGCTCCTAAAGTTGGCAGCTCTTTTCAGGGTCCTTATGCATGGATCCTACTCTACCAGAACCTACTCACGAAGCTCCCAACTCTCTTAAAGCTAGTTCAGCTCGCAGTATGAGCGACTGAGCAGTTCTCTTCGAGTGATCCTCGAGCCCAGCTTCTTGGGCACGTGGTTGATGTTCAGCAGCTCGCTGACGGGCCTCGCTGGCCTGATTACAAGAAATATTTTCAGATGAGGGCAGGCACCGTCGTTTAAGCTCCCGTCTCTTACCGGCTGTTGCATCAAAACGATGAATTGCTTGAATAGGTGCCCGCTGCTCCTGCAGAAGAGCTTGTTGTTCAGCCACCAGCGCCGCTCTGCTTCTATGACTTGCCTGGGCTTCCGACAACACCATGGTTTGCCCTCAGCACCTGGACCCTCTCCGAATGACGGCCCCTGCAAACGAGTTTCGTCCATCTCCTCCCGCAGCTCCCTCGCTAGGTTGTTCTCCTGCACACGCCGCACAGCATCTGAAGGCTTCGCAGGGTTTCCAAGAGGGCTTGTTCCACTCTCAGTATGAACGACGCAGCAGCTCGCTCCGAGTGATCCTGGAGCTCAGCTTCTTCAGCACGCTGTTGATGTTCAGCAGCTTGATGTCGGGCCTCGCTGGCCTGATGACACGAAACATGTTCGCATGAGGCTGCGACTAGGGTTGCAACTCGAGGGACAATCTGCCGTCGTACGGATACATGCCGCGCATACAACTTACGGATAAGTGTGTTGCCCAAGAGTCTGGATTGCATGAAACCCTGTCCTGTTTTACATGCAACTTTTCTCTCCCTCAATCTGTGCCTTGGCTTCCTGTATGGCCAGGGCTGCGGCACCGTGCTCGGAAATCGCGGAAGATGCCTCTCAAACGAAGATTTCCACGAGTTCACACCCTTACACCGAAAACCTCTAGCTACGGTCCATTATGAGAATTTCGGGTCCTTGAAACTGCGGTCTCTCACTTGCACGGTCGAATCAGAACGCTTAATTGCTTGAAGAGGTGCCCGCTGCTGCTGCAAAAGAGCCAGGTGTTCAGCCACCAGCGTCGCTCTGCTTTTTTGATTCGCCTGGACTTCACTCAACACCGGGCCTGCCCCAAACACCTGCACCTAAACCCTCTCCGAATGACGATCCATGCAAACGAGGTTCTTCCACCTCCTCCCGCAGCTCCCTCTCTAAGAGTGGCTCGCGCTCCTGAAAATGCAGAACATGGGAAGGTTTTATGTACAGGCGTTCTATGGGGTACCACACCCTACAGCTATAGGACCCGTGGAAACCCGGTGAAACCTTCCGTATCTTCTCTTAAAGTCCAGAAGGTATGGTTTGGGTTACCTCATCTGAGGGTGTTTGTGCCATGAATCTTGATACTTTCGGTCCATAATCGGGCTAATTGTCTGACCCCCAGTCTCTCACGCCTGGCTCGAGTGTCAATATGAACGAAAAAGCAGTTTCTCTTCGAGTAATCCTGGAGCTCAGCTTCTTCAGCGCGTGGCTGATGTTCAGCCGCTCGCTGGCGGGCCTCGCTGGCCTGATAACAAGAAATATGTTTGCATGAGAGCAGGCACCGTCGTTTAAGCTCCCATCTCTTACTGTAGGATCCTGATTAAGAAACCCTATAGGCCTATACCCCCAGAATAGTAGGGTTCATTTACGGAACCCCAATAAAGGCCCAAGGTTTCTTAACCAGGTTCCTACATTACCGACTGCGGCATCAAAACGAGTAATTGCTTGAAGAGGTGCCCGCTGCTCTTGCAGAAGAGCTTGTTGTTCAGCCACCAGCGCCGCTCTGCTTTTCTGATTCACCTGGACTTCACACACCTCTGGGTCTTGCCCTAAGCACCTGAAACCTCTCGAAATGAAACCGGCCCATGCAAACGAGTTTCGTCCACCTCCTCCCGCAGCTCCCTCGCTAGGTTGCTCTCCTGCACATGCCACGCAGCATCTGGAGGTTTACAAGGTCTCCAAACATCTGTCGTTCCACTTTCGAACGGGCGATATAGGCATATGAGAAGCCAGCCTACCTGCTTTACGTTCTCGCAACTCGGACGAATCCAGACGAGGTTCTTAGCCGGCAGGTCGGGTGACAATTGTACTCTGCCGGCCGCACTCTGAAAAAACAACCAACACAAGGCAAGTCCTGCGGTAGGCTTTAAGGATTATTACGGGTCTGTAGAATGAAAGTTAGGATCCCGTGATCCTGGAGCTCAGCTTCTTTAGCACGCTGTTGATGTTCAGCAGCTTGCTGTCGGGCCTCGCTGGCCTGATGACAGGAAACATGTTCGCATGAGGGCATGCGGAGACTGAAAGCGTTGGGGGCGTGTGCTCTCCAGCTTGCTGGAAGCCCTTTCCCATGTCAACCACTATCAACAACTTGTTTCCCCCCCAACTTTTGCCTCGGCTTCCTGCATCGCCAGGGCTGTGGCAATCGTGGACATTGCCTTTCAAAAGATGCCCAAGAGTTTGCGTGGAGCTCCCAAGCGGTACGATTTAGAGTCTGTTTGAGCGTGCCTTCTCTGAACCTCCCATCTCTCGCCGGCTGCTGGGTGAAAACGAATTATTGCTTGCACAGATGCCCGATAAACCCTCTCGAAAGGACACCGGCCCATGCAAACGAGATTCTTCCACCTCGTCCTGCAGCTCTCTCTCCAGCCTGCTTTCCTGCACATGCAGCGCATCTGAAGGTTTACAGGGTGTGAATGAGGTTTCATAGGGCGTTATATATAGAGGTTATACAATGCAATAGCTGGCTAGACTCGCAGTATGAACGACAGAGCAGTTCTCTCCAAGTGATCCTGGAGCTCGGCTTCTTTTGCACGCTGTTGGTATTCTGCAGCTCGCTGTCGGGCTTCGCTGGCCTGATGACAAGAAACATGTTCGCATGGAGGCATTCAGGCATTCGGAGTTTGTCGAAAGGGTTGTTGCAACTCGTCAAAAAATCTGCGGTCATACGGATACAGACCGCACGTGTAGCTGAAGGGGCATGCAGCCTCCGGATTGCATGAAGTTCTTCCTGTGCTTGCAACTTTGCTCTCCCCCATACTGTGCCTCGGCTTCCTGCATGGCCAGGGCTGTGGCACCGTGCTCGGAAATCGCGGATATGGCCTCTCAAACGAGAGTCACAAAAAGTTCACATAGCCAAGATCGATTGTGAGAGGTTGGGGAACTTGTTCCTTGAATTCCTCTCTCACTTTCTCGCAGTCGAACCAAGTAATTAAGTATGACTAATTGCTTGAAGAGGTGCACTCTGCTCCTGCAGAAGAGCTTGGTGTTCAGCCGCCAGCGCCGCTCTGCTTTTCTGATTCGCCTGGACTTCACTCAACACTGGGCCTGCCCCAAACACCTGCACCCAAACCATCTCAGAATGATGAATGACGGCCAATGCAAACGAGGTTCTGCCACCTCCTCCCGCAGCTCCCTCTCCAAGCATAGCTTGCTCTCCTGCAGATTGGACATGGTGTTGCAGGCGTTCTGGCGCCTGCCTTGTACAAAACCCTAACTGTAGGACCCTTGGAAACCTCTGTGAAACCTTCCGTATCTTCTCTTCAGTCCGCACAGGGATGGCAGGGTTTGGGGCACCTTGTCTGAGGATATCTGAGGATCTTCGGCCGAGAATCTTGATGCTAGGACTGATTATCTGACCCCTCGTCTCTCACGCCCTAGACTCAATATGAACCTCAGTTTCTCTTCGAGTAATCCTGGAGCTCAGCTTCTTCAGCGCGTGGCTGATGTTCAGCAGCTCGCTGCCGGGCCGCGCTGGCCTGGACACAGGACATATGTTCGCATGATGCACCGTTGTTTAAACTACCATCTCTACTAAGTAGAGACCATCTCTACTAAGTAGAGTCTACTTGCTGGCTCATCAAGTCCAAAGGACTAATTGCTTGAAGAGGTGCCCGCTGCTCTTGCAGAAGAGCTTGTTGTTCAGCCACCAGTGCCGCTCTGCTTTTCTGATTCGCCTGGACTCCCCACACCGCTGGGTTTTGCCCTGAACACGTAAAACCTCTCGAAAGGACACCAGCCCATGCAAACGAGTTTCTTCCTCTTCCTGCCGCAGCTCGCTCGCTAGCTTGCTCTCCTGCACGTGGCGCACACCATCTGAAGGTTTGACAGGGTTTCCAAAGCGGGTACTCTATAGGATGCTATTGGATTTTGGAAGTGGTTCTTAAAGCCAGGACATCTTCATGCACCTTCTAAGAATCAAGGATCTTTATGCCAAAGATGCCGCTACCTTGTGGTATATCTATGTAAGGCAATGTAAGGATCCCTACTTATCTGAAACTTCCATAAACTTCCATGCCTCTCACAGCTTCCAGACTCTCAGTGAAATGAACGACAGAACAGTTCTCTCCGAGTGGTCCTGGAGCTCAGCTTCTTTGGCGCGCTGTTGGAAATCAGCAGCTTGCTGTCGGGCCTCGCTGGCCTGATGATATGCAACATGCTCGCGGAGGGCATGCAAAAACTGCGACTTGTCAAAAGATCTGCGGGCCACACTCAAGTTAAGGGGGGGGGGGTATGCCCTCCAGCTTGCTGGAAGCCCCTTCCCATGTCAACCAGTATCAACAGCATGTCTTTCCCCCAAACTTTCGCCTCGGCTTCCTGCTTCGCAAGGGCTGCGGCAATCTCGGACATTGCCTGGCAAAAGATGCTAAAGAGTTTGTGTAGAGATCCCAATCCGAAAAACTCCATCTCTCATCGAACAGACGCCTGCTGCTCTTGCAGCTGAGCTTGGCATTCAGCCGCAAGTGCCGCTCTGCTTTTCTGACTCGCCTGGACTTCAAGCAGCACCGGATTACCCGAACTGATGCCTGTCGGAAGGAAACACAACGGCCCATGCAAACGAGTTTCTTCCACCTCCTCGCGCAGCTCTCTCTCCAGCTTGCTCTCCTACACACGCAGGCATCTAATGCTTTTAGGAAGGTTTCTGCAGTGTTGTTCCCAAGCGGTGTGGTAACTACGGGGTTCTTACGTTAAGGGTACATCAAACAAAAGACATACTTGTCAGTGTGACTGCGAAGCACGAGAGCCCTCCTTCTGCTCGTTTTGGACTCAAGTGCCATGATTGCCGCATCCCCCGCAGACGAGTCAGTCGTTGCAAGTTCTTACAATGCATTGGCTTCATTTTGGCCTTCAAAACGCTACGGGCGTTGGAGGTCCTCGTAGGGCTGCACTAATGAGGATTCTCAGGTTTGTCCATGTGGACTGGAAATCGCCTTCCCGTGGCGAGGAACGATGACCCTGGTGATCTTGGTGGTGCTGGTAGTCTTGGTCGATGGTGGTCGCGGCTGGCATCTTCACGGGAGTGTGCGTGTGTGTGTGTGTGTGTGTGTGTGGTCTAGAAGTCTAGGAAACCTCACCGAAGGATCCTTGTGGGAGGATCCTGCTAATTCGCCTACTATGTTAGGATGAAGCACTTCCGTTTTAGGATAAGACATGTTCGGGAACTCCCTTGCCTCTCACATGTGGTTACACCAACAGTACAAAGCCGCAGTTCTCTTAGAGTGATCCTGGAGCTCAGCTTCCTTGGCGCGCTTTTCATGTTCAGCAGCTTGCTGTCGGGCTTCGCTGGCCTGACGACACGAAACACGAGGACATGCACAGAAAGCCAATAATAAAGTTGCAGGTCGTCAAAGTCGTTTAGGGGGCGTGGCCCTTGACTAGAATGAAGTCCTGTCTCTGTCAACAACTTCTCTCTTCGCCCAACTGTGCCTCGGCTTCCTGCATCGCCACTGCTTTGGCAATCTCGGACATTGCCTGTCAGAAATACCAACGAGTTCCTGTAAGCTTCCAAATCGTACGATTAGGGCTAGTTTTAATGTTGACCTAGGATTAATAATCCCCCTACGATTAAAGGCGGCCTGCGGGCGGCTCCGGCCCCAATCTGTACTACTTTAAAGGCAGCACCCAAATAAGGATCGTTTTTTGCAGAAAACCCCCACGATTAAAGGCAACACCGTCTGGGGATCTAAAATTTCAAAAAGTGCTTCGAAGACTACTTTTAAAGGGGGCAAGACTACATTTAAAGGGCGTCTTGTCCTCTTTCAAGCGGTTCTTTCAAGGGGTAGCTTTCAAGGTTCAGGGTAGTTTTGTTCGCACTTTTGAAGTTGTGCTGCACAAGTGCTTTTTAGGACCGATTTCTTCGTTTTGCACAGGTCCACCAAAGCCTCCAAAGCAATGATTTCAAGATTAATCGCTGTGTTGTTCCAGGCCCCCAAACAAGCTTTCTGAGCCATCCCTAGCAACGGTGTGTCACCCACGATTAATCAACGACCCACGATTAATCAACTCGGGTGGCCGATCACAACATCTTTTACGGGCTCACTGTCACCACTACTACTACTACTACTACGACGACGACGACGACGACGACTCCTACTCCTACTCCTACTCCTACTCCTACTCCTACTGCTACTGCTACTGCTACTGCTACTGCTACTGCTACTGCTACTGCTACTGCTACTGCTACTGCCACTGCCACTGCCACTGCCACTGCTACTACTGCGGCTACTACGACGACTACTACTACTACTAGCACCACTGTTTACTGCAATTTGGCTTCACGGGATTATTTGGGGGTCTGTGATCCTGTGGGGGGCCTGCGACCTTGACAACCTTGAAGGGGGGGTGGCGGGGGGGGGGGGTTTATTAATCAGGGGTCAACATTAAGTGTCCCTTCTTCAGTGACCCTTCGGTCCCCCCCGCCAGATGAATGAACACGAGTAATTGCTTGCACACATGCCTGCAGCTCCTGCAGCTGAGCTTGGTGTTCAGCCACCAGCGCCGCTCCGCTTCTCTGATTAGCCTGGAATTCACTCAACACTGGCAGCTGCACCTAAACCCTCTCCGAATTTCGGCCGAGGTTCTTCCACCTCCGCTCGCAGCTCCCTCTCCAGCTTGCTCTCCTGCGGATGTAGAACGGGGGCTATGGGGCTTCCTGGTTTTAGAAGGCTTAGATTCAAGGATCCGTGTACCAAAACATCCTGCTACTTTTGGCTCATATTGGGATCCCTCATTCCTCACAGCTCCAGGCTCTAATCATGGACGCAGGAGCAGTGCTGCAAGAGTGATCCTCTAGCTCAGCTGCTTCGGCGCGCTGTTGATGTTCCGCCGCCAGTTGTCGGGCGTCGCTGGCCTGATGCTATGAAGAATCCGGGTGTGGGATCCTACTCCTCAGTCTGTATACATGCACAATGCCCAAGATTTGAGGGCCGAGCTGCTGTGACTTCCGACTCCTGAAGCACGGAGAGTCGCCTGATCGTCCAGGCGGCTCAGGGGCTGTCACAACCGACCACGAAAGGTGTGCCTGTGTCTCTCCGACTCCATAAACAAGTGCGTACATACATACAGACAGACAGGCACACAAACAAACAAACAAATTATGAATATATATATATATATATATATATATATATATCAATATATATATATATATATATACATATGTATATATATATATATATAGATAGTGTATACATACAAACATATACAAACAAATACACACCAAACATAAGCCGTCACGAGCACTTGGCGATGTCTGGGGCCCCTGAGCTCTGCACTCCTCCACCTCCTCTGCCATCGCCCCTCGCTCTGCACGCTCTGCCTGGAGCTCCTCCAGCTCCTGCGCCTAAGCTTCGTGGCTTGATTTACTTGTTTGTGGTTCAGAAGAAAGTGGCGGAGGCTTTTGCTGAAGCGGAGCACTGAGCTCCTGGCCAAGGTGCACCCGATCTCAATAATCTCGCTCGCTTCTTGATCCTGTGTCAGAGGATTCCGAGCTGAGGAGCTAGTGGCAGCTAGTGACTAATTCGCGACGATGTCGTAGCTCTGGGCTCGTGCCAGTCTGCTCAGGCTGATCACATCCGAAGTGCTGCTCCTTCTGCGTCAGCTCATGCTGAAGCTGTTCAACCTGCACTTGGCAAAACAACTATGCATGCGTCATTTACTTTTTACGTACATTCTCAGCATCTGCTTTCTTTCCCCAAGCTCTGATCATGTAGCTATGCCCCTCTGATTGGTGCCTTCACATCGTACTGCCGTAGATCGCTTGTGAAGAGTGTTGTGGTAGTTTGCATGCCAAGTGCTCTGAAACTTCCTAACTCAAGAGTTCAGGGCCGAGCTGCTGTGGCTTCGAACTCCGGGAGAATGGAGAGTCGCCTCAGCTCTCAAACGATCACAAGAGTGAAAACCAAACATAAACCGTCCCCAAACCCTTCCATCACTTCGTGATATCTGAGCTCTGAACTCCTCCGCCTCCTCTACCATCGCCCCTCGCTCTGCACGCTCTGCCTGGAGCTCCTCCAGCTCTTGCGCCTAAGCTTCGTGGTTTGATTTACTTCTCGGCACGGAAGAAAGTGGCGGAGGCTGTTGCTGAAGCGGGCACTGAGCTCGTGGCCAGGGTGCACCCGATCTCAATAATCTCACTCGCCTCTTGATCCTGTGTCAGAGGATTCCGAGTTGAGGAACTACAGTGGCGACCTTGCAGCTGTCGGCTCGTACGAGCCTTCTGCGCCAGCTCATGCTGAAGCTGCTCGACCTGCAAATGGCATTGCAACTACAGTGCCATGCAACTTGGGCTGCGCCATGCGCTCATGAGCCGAGCCCTTCTGACGGGCTCCCTCCTTTTCAGCATTGCTTGAGATGAGGCGTGCCTAAACCAGGCGTCCATAAAATCTGGCTGGAACTACATAAAACTATATTCGCACACAAGCCAGGGTGAGCAATTTTTCTGAAATTTAGCCTCGACTCCTAAGCCACTCCTAAGCCTCAGATTTCAGAGCCGAGCTGCTGTGACCTCTGACTCCAAGAGCACCGAGAGTCGCCTTAGGCTCCCGGCGGCTTAGAGTGGCTCTCACACGATTTCACAACCTGTCTTTCCTATAACCCCCGGTAGAATCATAATAACAAAATTGTGTTTAATATTCTCCTGGGTTTTACATGAACAAAATAAAAATAATTCCTGAGGAGACTATAGTTTCTATCTATCGATCCATCGGCCTATGGGCTATCTATCTATCTTTTGGAACCAGTACTGAGGCTGAGGCGTGGGACCGGAAAGAGCATCCTCTATCTATCCGTTCAGGCATGAATGAGAACCACCTGGACCCCAAAAGTATGGATAATAATAGCCTTTTATGGGTCTTGGGCCATTATTTTGCCTACTTTGGGAGCATAATCAAAACGTTCGGAAGCCGATCCCAAACCCTCGCTTCGCGATATCTGAGCTCTGGGCTCATCTGCCTCCTCAGCCATTGCCCTGCGCTCTGCACGCTCTGCCTGGAGCTCCTCTAGCTCTTGCACCTAGGCTTTGAGGTGTCACTTGCTAGTATAGGTTGAAGGCACGGAGGAGAGCTGAACACTTGCTTGTCACTCGCCAGAGTCTATGGCTTTTGTGCTGCACCTGACCTCGACACTTCACCGACGGTCCACTCCTGTGGATTTCAACCATGGGTCAGCTGTTGAAAGGTCGCGACTGCAAGACAAGAAGCCGCAATGCGCTGCTCCATCTCAGGCTCCGTAGACGGGGAAATGCTGCCTTAGACTATTGTATTGAGACGAGCACACATCTACCTGTACCGATGAATTCCCTTGGGGCATTCAAGGCACTGTGCATCTCATCCTTCAGTTCCTGCTCGGCAAAGTGGAGCCTCCTTTGTCATGGCCGGATTGGGTAAGTTGAGAGGCATTCCAAAAGCATGTCAAGACTATTTCGAGCTGCTTTCCAAGCTGCTGGTTGAGTTGGTTGACCATTTGCGACAGAGCATGAAATGCACCCTGCACCCGGTCGTCTTTCAAGCCAGTGCCTGCTTCGTTACACAGAGGTGGCTGCAAAATTGCGGCGTTCCACGACTGAAAAGAGGTGGCCTGACGCTGCACGGTGAGGATTATCCCGCATCGCGGGACCGAGCACATCCTTCGCGGGATGTTGCTATTTGGATAGTATTAGAGTAGCATAGTATTAGAGTATCATAGCATTTTAGTATTCCAGTAGTATAGTAGCTAGTAGTCCAGTATTTTATGGCTCTGTGGGCTTTTGGAGTACATGTGATACACCTGACCAACATCCATGCATTCGACATGCCTCTGCCTCCATTTGATCCGGTCTGACTGGACTCGAAGGTGTGGACAACATTTGCTGCATCTTCGCCTCTTGAAAGTGTGCTGGCACCAACCGCACCAGGTGTAGCTAGTCCTCTGACGCTCAACATCGGCACGTGCACTCTCGTTCGTGCAGACAAGTCGCCACTTCTGACTGCAACATGTCACAAACACGTTGCTGCTGCGCTGCCTGCTGGGAAAAACACTTGCATCATGCAACAATGCTGCGAGTATGTTGGCATGAGAACATGCAAAGGCTTCGACTGAGGAATAAGTGGAACTTGTGTGTCACTGATGATTTCACGGACGTGTGCCCTCCAGATTCCTCTCCTTTCTCAACAACTTTACCCTCTGCCCCTTCACTGCCTCGGCTTCTTGCAGGGCGGTGGCGCTGTGCTTGGAAAGGTCGGACATTGCCTATCAAATCAGGATCTCAACGAGTTCGCGTGGAGCTCTTTAATCGAATCAGGGCTGCGAAGGCCTCATTCAGGGGTCCTTCTGCCGGGGATCCTACTGAACCGTGTCTGTTTTACTTGGAGTCGCAGGTGTTCTGAAACTCAACTCCGCTCGCCCATAGGCTGGTGAATCAAAGAGCTTGCTTGCACAAATGCCTGCTGCTCCTGCAGCTTCTTTTGGTATTCAGCCACAAGTGCCGCTCGGCTTGAGTGATGTGCCTCAGGATTCACACGACATGCTAAAACCAGACCTTAAACCCTCTCCGATGGAAAGCGGTGCAAACGAGTTTCTTCGAGCTCTTCCTGCAGGTGCCTCTCCAGCTTGCTCTCCTGCAGGAGAGCAGGTGCAGATGGGGGTTCTAGGGCGGTGCTGTCGGCTCTATAGTGAAGTATGCAGTTTTCGGAGTTCTTAAGGCTCTGGAGGTATCGAGGAAGTCTATGTTTATACTGAGGGTCCGAGCATGATTTTTGCTATCCTCTCATTGCTTGGCGGAAAGTGGCCGGACAAAGAGTGCATAGGAATCCTGGAATTTTCGAAGAATCAGGAAAGCCTAAAGAAACTTCATGTTTTATCATCGGTTCATAACTGTGTTATTAGTTTTCATTCTTGTTCATTGCTGTTTCAGTGTTTAGCTTAACAGGGCCCGAACCGTCCCCAAAACAGGACACAATTAGCAACTAGCAAACCGATAACACAATGATGGCGGAATCAGGGGCAAAGAAAAGAATGAGTAAGCTACGCAACCCCGAATGAGAACCAACATGATAACATGGAAATTGCTTATCTCAACATTTACAGTCAGAAAAATTGACAAGAATCTCACAGGGCTAGGGCCTGACTATGACGAACGTGCAGTTCTCTTCCGGCAATCCTGGAGCTCAGCTTCTCTGGCGCGCTGTTGGTGCTCAGCAGCTCGCTGTCGAGCGTCGCTGGCCTGATGACAGGAGGCTGTGCCCTTGAGGGCTTGCAAAGGCTGCCCATAAGGAACACTGCGCCGAACAATCTGCATGCGCACTATTACATTCACGGCGTGTTCGCTGCATGTTGCATGAATCAAGCCACGCCGTGTCTTGTCAACAACTTTGCCCCCACCCATCCGTCATCATCTGCCAAGAAGGATCCTAATTACTCTTTAAGGTCCCACTGAATTGCTGAAACTCCCATCTCTCGCCGGCTGCTGAACCCAAACACGCAGATGCCTGCTGCTCCTGCAGCTGAGCTTGATATTCAGCCGTCAGGGCCACTCTGCTTTTCTGATTTGCCTGGGCTTCAGAGCAATGGGCGTTAGACTGAAACAACAACCTCCTTTCCGAACGAAGCGGGCAATGCAAACGAGTTTCTTCAATCTCCTCCTGCAGCTCCCTCTCTAGGTTGCTCTCCTGGAAGTGCAGAACCGGGCTCTGAGGTTTCATGGGCTTCAGCTTCTTCGAGCTTGCTGTAGTTCCGTATATATCTGGGCTTCAGGGGTTGGCCCATTTGCCCCGTGCATACTCTGCTCATTTGCGCGTGCTCCTGAATTCCGCCAGCACTTGAGGGGACTGATTCGGGTTCTGCTCTACTTGGGTGAGCTTGGGTGAAGCCTTGAAGCCTTGAGGGCGTGTGGTCGACACGGCTCCTGAATTCTTTGAACTCGCACGTTTCATAGCGATGCTTAGGCCCTCAGTATGACGAAAGAGGAGTTCTCTGCCAGCAATCCTTGACCTGAGCTTCTTTGGCGCGTTCTTGATGTTCAGAAGCTCGCTGTAGAGCGTCGCTGGCCTGATGAAAATGACATGTGTTCGGATGAGGGCATGCAGATGCGGCCAGTACGGCTGCAAATCGTCAAAGAAGCTGCGGACAATGCGGTTTGCACATATAGTTATGCGACGTCAGGTGAAGCATTGCATGAAGTCACCCCTTCAGAACTTCTGTCAACAACTCTACCCCCACAGCCACTCCCTGACTGTCTCCGCTTCTTGCAATGCCAGGGCTGTGGCTCTGTACTTGGAAATCTCGCACATTGCCGGTCAACCGAGGATCTCAACGAATTCGCTGGAGCTACCGAACTGCATCGATGAGACCTTGTCTTCATACCTCATCACGCTAAGGATCCCCACCTCGGGTCAACTTTGGGACCCCTTTATTCTGAAACTCCCTTCTCTCGCCGGCTGCTGAGTCGAAACTACTATTAACGCTGGCTTGCACAATCTTGCAGAGATGCCTGCTGCTCCTGCAGGTTCGCTTGGTATTCAGCCAGCAGGGACGCTCTGCCTTTCTGATTCGCCTGAGCTTCACAACGCCGGGCTACCAGTAGACACCTATAAATCACAGGCGAAAAGGAGGGACCCTCAATGGGGACCCCTGCCCTATAATGCGCTATATAATGGGTATATAATAGCTGTATTAAGGGTATATACCTAGGGGTCCTGATTAAGGGTACCTCCTTTTACCCTTGGAATAAACTTTGAATAAACCCTTCGGGACCCAGGAATGAAAGCGGCCAATGTAAACGAGCTTCCTCGACCTCCTCCTGTAGCTCCCGCTGTAGCTTGCTCTCCTCCAGGCGCAGATGGTTTCTTTCTGGGTTGTATGGTGGGGGTATGTGGGTTTAGCGCGGCTTCTTAAAGATGTACGGCGTACGGGGCATACCTTTTCAGAGTTTCAACACCCGTCCGACTGTGGGGTGTACGAGGATTCCTCACCTCAATTTCTCACCGCCGGCTAAACACCCTGATTATACGAATGAGCAGCTCTCTTCCAGCAATCCTGGAGCTCAGCTTCTCTGGCGCGCTGCTGATATTCAGCAGCTCGCCGCCGAGCGTCGCTGGCCTGCATGCAAAGGCTGCCCATAAGAAACATGTCGCCGAACAACCTGATCTGCATGCGCACTCTTACAAATTGGGGAGCGATCGCTCCACGCTGCATGAATCAAGTCACTTGTCAACAACCTTGCCCCCCGGCCCCTACGCACGGATTGCCTCGGCTTCCTGCATCGCCAGGGCCGTGGTGCTTTTCTCGGAGAGCTCGGATAGTGCCTGTCAAACGAGGATCTCGCACTCAACTAGTTCGCATGAAGCTCAAATGCCGAATCTTGTTTAGGATGCATTAAGGGATCCTTACACGAAAAGACTACTAACTTTGCCTGCTGCCGTGCTCGGAACAACCTATACGAACTGCATTGAAGGAGTAGGCTTTTAGAGTCCTCGTGTTGCCACTCACATCCGGCACAGCCACCCGTCCATGCTAGGGTCTCTTGCGTCACTATGCCAGCTAAGCAATCAAAGAGCACAGTGGAGTTCCATTCTCTACAGTCCCAAGACTCGAAAGGCCACCCTATACGAGTCAAGTTGCGTACGTCAAAGCAAAATTCGCACAGGAACCGCTGGGCGCGCCGCCGGCTGGTCGTGCTAAGACGATAACGCCGCCCTCTTTACCCAGAACGTAACAAAAAAGCGTAGTGACACCACGCTGTTTGAAGAAAAACAGCTTAAAATGCTTGCACAGATGCCTGTTGCTCCTGCAGTTGCGCTTGATGTTCAGCCACCAATGCCGCTCGGCTCGTGCGATGTGCCTGGGAATTCACAGAAACCGAGCTTCCCCTCGTAAAACCTCTCCGACGAAAGCAGCCATGCCATTCCAACGAGATGCTTCGACCTCCTCCTCTAGCTCCCGCTGTAGCTTGCTCTCCTCCAGGCGCAGATGGGGTTTTCTGGGTTGTATGGTGGGGGTGTGTGGTTTTAGAGCGGCTTCTTAAAAATGTACCGGGCATACCTTTTCAGAGTTTCAACACCCGTCCGACTGTGGGGTGTACGAGGATTCCTCACCTCAATTTCTCACCGCCGGCTAAACACCCTGATTATACGAATGAGCAGCTCTCTTCCAGCAATCCTGGAGCTCAGCTTCTCTGGCGCGCTGCTGATATTCAGCAGCTCGCCGCCGAGCGTCGCTGGCCTGCATGCAAAGGCTGCCCATAAGAAACATGTCGCCGAACAACCTGATCTGCATGCGCACTCTTACAAATTGGGGAGCGATCGCTCCACGCTGCATGAATCAAGTCACTTGTCAACAACCTTGCCCCCCAGGCCCCTACGCACGGATTGCCTCGGCTTCCTGCATCGCCAGGGCCGTGGTGCTTTTCTTGGAGAGCTCGGATAGTGCCTGTCAAACGAGGATCTCGCACTCAACTAGTTCGCATGAAGCTCATTTGCCGAATCTTGGGATGTATTAAGGGATCCTTACACGAAAAGACTACTAACTGTGCCTGCTGCCGTGCTCGGAACAACCAAAACGAACTGCATTGAAGGAGTAGGCTTTTAGAGTCCTCGTGTTGCCACTCACATCCGGCACAGCCACCCGTCCATGCTAGGGTCTCTTGCGTCACTATGCCAGCTAAGCAATCAAAGAGCACAGTGGAGTTCCATTCTCTACAGTCCCAAGACTCGAAAGGCCACCCTACACGAGTCAAGCAGCGTACGTCAAAGCAAAATTCTCACAGGAACCGCTGGGCGCGCCGCCGGCTGGTCGTGCTAAGACGATAACGCCGCCCTCTTTACCCAGAACGTAACAAAAAAGCGTAGTGCCACCACGCTGTTTGAAGAAAACCAGCTCAAAATGCTTGCACAGATGCCTGTTGCTCCTGCAGTTGCGCTTGATGTTCAGCCACCAATGCCGCTCGGCTCGTGCGATGTGCCTGGGAATTCACAGAAACCGAGCTTCCGCTCGCAAAACCTCTCCGACGAAAGCAGCCATGCCATTCCAACGAGATGCTTCGACCTCCTCCTCTAGCTCCCGCTGCAGCTTGCTCTCCTCCAGGCGCAGATGGGGTTTTCTGGGTTGTATGGTGGGCGGTGTGTGGTTTTAGAGCGGCTTCTTAAAAATGTACGGGGCATACCCTTTCAGAGTTTCAACACCCGTCCGACTGTGGGGTGTACGAGGATTCCTCAACTCAATTTCTCACCGCCGGCTAAACACCCTGATTATACGAATGAGCAGCTCTCTTCCAGCAATCCTGGAGCTCAGCTTCTCTGGCGCGCTGCTGATGTTCAGCAGCTCGCTGCCGAGCGTCGCTGGCCTGCATGCAAAGGCTGCCCATAAGAAACATGTCGCCGAACAACCTGATCTGCGTGCGCACTCTTACAAATTGGGGAGCGATCGCTCCACGCTGCATGAATCAAGTCACTTGTCAACAACCTTGCCCCCGGGCCCCTACGCACGGATTGCCTCGGCTTGCTGCATCGCCAGGGCCGTGGTGCTTTTCTTGGAGAGCTCGGATAGTGCCTGTCAAACGAGGATCTCGCACTCAACTAGTTCGCTTGAAGCTCAAATGCCGAATGCCTTGTTTAGGATTTAAGGGATCCTTACACGAAAAGACTACTAACTTTGCCTGCTGCCGTGCTCGGAACAACCTATACGAACTGCATTGAAGGAGTAGGCTTTTAGAGTCCTCGTCCGGCACAGCCACCCGTCCATGCTAGGGTCTCTTGCGTCACTATGCCAGCAAAGCAATCAAAGAGCACAGTGGAGTTCCATTCTCTACAGTCCCAAGACTCGAAAGGCCACCCTATACGAGTCAAGTTGCGTACGTCAAAGCAAAATTCGCACAGGAACCGCTGGGCGCGCCGCCGGCTGGTCGTGCTAAGACGATAACGCTGCCCTCTTTACCCAGAACGTAACAAAAAAGCGTAGTGACACCACGCTGTTTGAAGAAAAACAGCTTAAAATGCTTGCACAGATGCCTGTTGCTCCTGCAGTTGCGCTTGATGTTCAGCCACCAATGCCGCTCGGCTCGTGCGATGTGCCTGGGAATTCACAGAAACCGAGCTTCCCCTCGTAAAACCTCTCCGACGAAAGCAGCCATGCCATTCCAACGAGATGCTTCGACCTTCTCCTGCAGCTCCTGCTGCAGCTTGCTCTCCTGCAGGCGCAGAAAGACGGGGTTTTCTGGGTTGTATGGTGGGGGTATGTGTTCTCAAAGATGTACGGGGCATACCCTCGTGTCAACACCCGTCCGACTGTGGGGTGTACGAGGATTCCTCACCTCAATTTCTCACCGCCGGCGAAGCACCCTGATTATACGAATGAGCAGCTCCCTTCCAGCAATCCTGGAGCTCAGCTTCTCTGGCGCGCTGCTGATGCTCAGCCGCTCGCTGTCGAGCGTCGCTAGCCTGATGACAGGAAGTTGTGCCCATCACGGCATGCAAAGGCTGCCGATAAGAAACGTGTCGCCGAGCAACCTGACCTGCATGCGCACTGTTACACGATGGGGAGCGTTTGCTTCACGTTGCATGAATCAAGCCACCTTGTCGTGTCAACAGCTTTGCCCCCACCCCCTCGCTCGGATTGCCTCGGCTTCCTGCATTGCCAGGGCCGTGGTGCTGCTCTTAGAGAGCTCGGATAGTGCCTGTCAAACGAGGATTTCAACGAGAACTCGCATGGAGCTCTCAAACCAAATTTCCTTTTTCTCAAATGCGGCAGCGTAGCTATGCTGAGGATCCTGTTTAGGGCATGTTTGAGGGTCCTTTGTTTTCTGAGAAAACGAACCATTAATCAATGCTTGCTTGCACAGATGGCTGCTTCTCCTGCAGCTGAGCTTGATAGTCAGCCGCCAGCGCCGCTCGGCTTGTCTGACTTGCCTCGATTTCACACAACGCCGGGCTTACCCTTAACCTCTTAGGCCCTCTCCGAATTGCGGCCCATGCAAACGAGTCTCTTCCGCCTCCTCCCGCAGCTCCTGCTGTAGCCTGCTCTCCTGCTGATGCAGATCTCGTGGGCGTTGTGGGCGTTAATGGGGTTCTACATGAATGTTTCTCAACAGGATGCGGGAGGGCTTCATAAAGCCTTCCTTAAGGATCGTCATACCTTACTTAGTTCGCGATCTTTGTATTCTGAAACTCCTGCGTCCCTCGCAGCTCGATAGCCTCTCAGTATGCGGAACCAAGCGTCAGTGCATGGAATATAAGAAATGCAACAGGGCAGCGGCCCTAACCCCTTCGCAGACCCTAGAAGACCGAAGCCCTTCAGAGAATGGGGGAGCTACAGGCCAGTGTCCAACCACTCATATGGGTGGTTGTCAAAATTATGGTCCCTCTTTGGGTACCCTAAATAATAGGTGCCATATCCTAATAGGGACCCAAAAAGGGATCATAATTTTGACAACCACCCAAATAACTAATAGGCTGAAACCAAGCCGCATCCTCTGCGGCCTGGAGGTGTGCAGCACGTTGCTGGTGGAAGTGCATGCACTCTTCCTCAAACCTGCGGGGCGGCAGTTGCTTGTTGATGTCTGCACTGTTACCACGATCCAAGACCCGAGAAGCATTTTTGGAACCCTAAGTTAAGTGGATGCAACAGCTCCCGTCTCCTAGAAGACATCTCATGGCCACGACGGCAGCGCTCAGAACTCGTGCGCCTTCCTTGGAGCATCTCCCGCTGCTGCTGCCCAGAAGCAACCAGTTCCTCGGCTCGGAAAGGTTTGCCCGGCCAGACCAGTCTGATGCTTTACAGTTTCCTGGCTTCTGCATTTTTTCTGGCTTTGACAAGTTCGTGCTTTCCTGAAAGGAGGTCAGTCAATAGAGTGCTGAGAAGTCACCTCGGCGTGCGAGCTTGCCTGCAAAGCCTGCTCCAGCCTGGGACGCAAGGCAGCAACAAACAGGCTTAGGGTTTAGGGTCGCCTCGCCCCTCCGCACACCTTCACCTTCTGATGCTGGAGAAGTCCAAGCTGCAGCTGTCGGTTCTCCTCGTCCGCTCTGCGCTTGCTGGCGAGAGCTGACTCCAGCTCGGCTTGCAGACTTAGTGGACACAGCTGAGACAATTAACAAGGGAACCAAGTGGAGAACAACTTGCTACATACTGTCTGCAAACATGAGACCTGCTCATCCTTGAAGCCTCAGTTGTCAGCATTCAACAGCACTTCGAAAGGGCGGTCGCATTTCAGCTTGTGAGACCGGTGCCTCCCCACTTTCGAACTCGAAGGAGCTCGCCCCCACGGCTGAGAACCTATGCGAACCAGGAACAGGGCCTTTTTATATACCACAATTATATTAAGCAGCCCCCAAAATAGTATAGGTAATTATTAAGGCCCCTTAGATCATCTTCCTCAGGCCTGCCATTGCCCAGCCTCATCGGAGAAGGCGAGGAGTACTCAGAGCTGGATGCGGGTGCCTCGAGTCGATGGTCCGTCTCTGCGAATTTCTACAAAGAGCGGCACATTAGTTTGAGGCTTGGTTGCATGTATAAAGTCTACTTTATACAGAGATATTTGCTCTTGCTATTATTTCCGTTGTTCACTCCAGGGGCCGCCTCGAAGCTGCTGTGCGCACCCTTCTCTCCTTGGGTGCACAGGAGCGGCGCGGTGTGTCGTGGCCGCCCCCTTCGGCCGAGAGACGTTGCAGCTCGGCAAGCTTGGCGCCGAAAATCCGGACGGACTGCCTGCCAGAAGCCCTTTTGGGTGGTATGGTATAGCATAATTGAGTATAGTATATCGTAATATAGTATAACATAGTATAATAGGTAGTATAAGATGGAAGCGAAAAGCAAGGGATTGAAGCTGCTCCTGAAAGTTCTTGTGCACCCACAGTTTCTGCAAAAAACAAACCTGTCCACCCAGGTGTCAGCCAAGCGTGCAGTGAAATAAGACTTGCCGATCCCCCCGGTCATTCCTCGACTTTCTGGAAGATGGCGACTTGGGTGAGGACTTCTGCATCTGGATGACGAGGTTCATCTTCCTCAGGACTTCAGGAGCGGGGTCTGCAGCTGGCTTCTGTCATCTTATGCTGCGATCACGCTCCGTCTACCGGAAGCCTGTATTGTACTTCTTGAGAATGCATGCTGCGCGCCCAAACCCTTGACGTCATCACTACCAGCTTTGCACACCCCTCGCTTCCTCAATCCCGGTGCACTGTAATTGAAAGGCAGCCGGCTCATGTTGCAGCTGCGCCAGCTGGTCCTCGTACCTGGAAGCAGTGATTGGCGGCATCCGATCACGGCGAAACACTCCCGAAGCCCTACAAAAATCTTAAAAAGGCCCTATCAAACCTTATTGAACCCTATTGAACACTGTTAACACCTATCACACCTTGTAAAACCCTATTAAACCCCATAAGACCCAATTAAGCCCTCTTAAACCCTACAAAAGCCCACCTTTGCGATACCCGATCGCTCTTTTTTTCCCTCTCGCATTGCTGTGGAGTCTATGCCCACTCGCGAGGTCGACTTTGCTTGGAGGATCATGGGACTTAGCAAGTAAGGTTATAAGTACCCTAATTGGGGTTATAAGTATAGTTACCCTAATTTTTAACCCTAGTAATTTTTAACCCTAGTTACTAAGTCCCATGATCCTTTAAGTGGGGATAAATAAGATTTGGGTGGGGATACACAAGATTTGCAACCCGATAACTCTGGGGCCCAGGCTCCTCTGCCTCTTCCGCAATCGCCGCGCGCTCCGCCCGCTCCGCCTCGAGCTCCTGGAGGGCCTGCGCCTTAGGACGAACTGCGAGTCTCCGAAAATAGGGGACCCTTTTAATACCCTTTAAGGGATGTACAAGGGTTCGATAAGGGTTTAGGGTTTAGGGTTGGGGGTTTCCGAAATTAAGGGACCCTTGTAATGTCCTTTAAGGGATCTATAAGGGTTTAGGTAAAGTTTAGGGTTTAGGGTTGGGGGTTTCCGAACATGAGGGACCCTAGTATAGCATCCTAAATTGCAGGATCCTTATTGAAAAGGACCCCAAAGGAAGGTACCCCCAAATTTTCGGAAACTTCCAACTGCATCCTAAAAGGGCTTCAGGCACAGATCCCGTAGAGGAATTCATAGTAAGCTGTAGAGGTTGATGGGGCTTCGGGGTTTCTTCCCACTCGCCCTGCTGACAGAGTCGCACCGCGCAGGTGTAGAGCGTGAGTTCTAAGCTCTAGGGCTTTAGGGTTAAGTTCAGGGTTGTGTCGCTTGTCTTGGCACAGGAGAGAATCGCAGGAGGTTTCACCGAGCCCGTGGCCAAGGTGCACCCAATCTCACCGTCACCAGTCTCAGTCGCATCTTGCTCCTGTCGGTGGTACAATCACCTAGTATGCTAAAGTACAAAAATAAAGTACACAAAAAAGAGATAGAATATAATGTAAGTCAGAACTTGCAGGTTGAAGAGCTAGAGTAACCAGAAACGATCTTACAGCTCTCGCAGTCCACTCAGGCTGGTCACTCCTTCTGCATCAACTCATTCTGAAGCTTCCCGACCTCCACTGGCAAAATTTCAAAACGTCTAGGGGCCTTCGTCACTCTCTTGAATTTATGGCCTCCTGAACATCTGGGTTTCGCAAGCCTCAAGCTTGGGGACCGAAGCTCCGATCGTTTCGCTGCTGGCTCTCCGCATGAAGGTTCTTTCAGACTGGGCGCTCCGCTCTACGCATCTAGATTCACGATGTACATACAGATGTACATATACATATGCACATCTACAGACAAACGCACATGTAGATAGAAGGGTATGTATGGTATTACAAACCGAGATATCGATCTATCATTATCTACCAATCAATCTTCCCAGTATCTATCCACAGGTTTACTCATCGATCTGTCGATCCATCTATCTGTCAATCTCATATGCGTGTGTGTGTGTATGTATATATATATATATCAAACAAAAAATGCATAAACCTGCATATATGGGTAGTTGTCAAAATTATGGTCCCTATTTGGGTATCCTAGATATCAGGTGCCGTATTATCGGACCCGAAAAGAAAAGGGCCCTAATTTTGACAACCACCCATATAGACATACTACTGGGTACTTAGGGTGCCTGGTTCCTTCTGAACTAAAAGTCCTGCTAAACCCCAGCAAGCCCACGGTTTAGGGTAGAAAATCCCTAGACCCTTAACCCTGTAACCCCTAAACCCCTATACCCTTCTTGCATCCAGGCCTATTGCGACCCTAAACCCCTAAACCCCTGAAGCCTTAAACTCTAAACCCCTGAAACCTTAAACTCTAAACCCCTAAACCTTAAAACCCACCCAAAAAACAAAAAAAACGAGCCCTGGCGAGCTGCTGTGACTTCGGAGCGCCACTCCAGGAGACCAGAGAGTCGCCTCAGGGTGCGTGAATTTTACTATACTTAAAGGATCATGGAACTTTTTTCCCTCCTAGGGTTTAGGGTTTAGGAATTTTACTATACTTAAAGGATCATGGGACTTTTTTCCCTCCTAGGGTTTAGGGTTTAGGAATTTTACTGTACTCAAAGGATCATGGAACTTTTTTCCCTCCTAAGGTTTAGGGTTTAGGGTTTAGGAGTTTTACTGTACTTAAAGGATCATGGAACTTTTTTCCCTCCTAGGGTTTGGGGTCTAGGGTTTAGGAATTTTACTGTACTTAAAGGATCATGGCACTTTTTTCCCTCCTAGGGTTTAGGGTTTAGGAATTTTACTGTACTTAAAGGATCATGGCACTTTGCCCTCCTAGGGTTTAGGGTTTAGGAATTTTACTATACTTAAAGGATCATGGCACTTTTTTCCCTCCTAGGGTTTAGGGTTTAGGGTTTGGGAATTTTACTATACTCAAAGGATCATGGGACTTAGTAACTAGGGTTCCTTAAAGGGCTGCTTTAAAGGGATCTATAGGGGTTCTAATATAGGGTCTACTTAAAGGATCATGGGACTTAGTAACTAGGGTTTTTCACTATAGGGTAACTATACTTGTAACCCCAATTAAGGTACTTATAACCTTACTTACTATGTCCCATGACCCTCCAAGTAGGGGCCTCAATAATTAGCTATACTATTTGTAGGGCACGATTCTTGGGATGTGCCCTAACGAGGGCTCGGATCGTCTGCACAGTATCAGCAAGAGTATACTTCGGTACATGTATTTGTGTGTTTCCAATTTCCCATGCTGCACACTTCCCAAGCATGTGCTGTGGAGCCCTGTGAAACTTCACGACCCGGCCTCTGAAGGAGCAGGTTTCGACGGATTACGGCCTTATCAAAGCCGCATGGTGGCTCCCAGATTCTGGGATTATAAGACTTTAGGGTTTGGGGTTTCAGGGTTAGTTAGGATGTGCAAGGAGTCGGGGCTCATGATGGCTCCCAGGTGCAACTGCCAGTTGCCAGGAAGAGCTTCCCCTCACTGTCATGTAAAGCATGTTAGTCTTCGATCGCCGGAGCCGTTCAACGGGGACTTGAAGGCTTACTTACCTCGCCTCTCCACACAGCGATGCCCAAAGTTCGCAAAGGGTTGCCTCCAAGCTGGTTTGCAAGCTAGCAAGACAAGAGGCCGCCATGCGCTGCACCAAGTTGGTCTCTGCACCAGGGGAAATGCCTTTCGCTAAACACACGTGGCTGACCCATCACGATCGAGGCAGCCCCCCCCCCCTCGCTCCGCTGGGCACCGCAAAGCTGAGCTCGAAACCTACCTTTGCATCACTGCCCTGGAGAACTTGATCTCGCAAAGGCTCCATATCCGGAGCTTGGGTCAAGCTGTTGCGAATCCTTAGATGCTCCCCGCGGCTTAGCGAAAGCAAAGTGCAAAATTCGGCCTGTGCCTCTCTGACATAGAACCCGCTTTGCAAAGAAGTGCCTTAAGTCTTGGGCCGGGATGCTCCTACAAGCATAGCTCCAGGCCCTGCGCAAATGACGTTTTCCGCTTTCCCTGGCATCGTGTCGTGGCCTGAAATATCCGTTTGCGCGCGCATGCGCGCGAGACGGCACCGTTGCGAGGCACCCTTCCACCTCATCACATGACGGCCAAGAAAACCGAAACACGGAGCTGATCAAAAAACATTATTTGTGGCCGCTTCGTCGTGGCAGTTGTGCATTTTGCTCCGGCTCAACGTGTAAGCTCGTTAATCACACGAAAATGGCTAGAAATGCAGATGGAGCTGGGCTGACAGAGGAAAGCCAAGTTGCCCAAGCCTCCTTAGTTGTCACAGATGACACGTCGATGGTGTGCGTAGCAGCCTGCGCCCCCCCGTGTTGCAAGCAGAGCTGCATGGCGGCTTGAGCACTCTCCAGCTCTGAAGCTTCCAGATCATCTTGCAGTTGCCGGACGTGCTGCTTTGCGATCTCACACACCTGCCACGAATGGCGGGCGATCATTGTCTTCGTGCCAGCCGCAGGCCGTGATAGGTAGACCAACTTGCGAGACACACCAACTTGAGAGATGGACACCGCCGGCATCAGAAGAACGTGAATGCAAACACCAATGTGTTGAATGCATATTACGCGATTAGCATCATACTGTATCTGCATGATGTAGCATATACTGTACATTAGCTATTACCTTCTCAAGCTACTTGTGACCATCGGGCAGGTGTGCGCTGTGTGTTGGGCTCCTCCTCTGAAGATTTGAGCTTCTCCATGGTGCTCTCCAAAGCCTCGAAGCACTTCCTCGGTTTCGGGTTTGGGGGTTAAGGTAGGGGTTTACGCTCTCGCAACTCGGACAAGCTGGACGAGGTCTCTGAGTTCGGGTCGGCAACTAATTACAACTTACTACGGGTCAGCGGCGATTCACGAGGGGTTTCGGGTTCAGGAATCTAAGGTTGCAGCACTGACAAATGGGACAAGCCTGGCGAGGTTACTGGTACGACGACTTTGGCCCAAAAGCAGTGTGGCGATGTTCACCTGTTCACCACTCCCATTAGCTAGCAACACACCAACGTCCTTCTTGCATGCACCGCACTCGACAGACTCCATCATCTACATCGGAACCAGGCCTCATCCAAAGGTTTAGGAGTTTAGGGTTTTATGCTCTCGCAACTCGGACACAGCCAGAGGCAGTCTTTCGGTTCGCAGGCGCACTTTCAGGTTGCAGTACGACAGCGGAAAAGTAAGCAGATTCAGAATTACTGTAAGCAGGACAGAAAAACCGGGAAACTGAGGAACATCGTATCACCTGGAAGCTCAGGAACGTCGTACATTGACGAAGGCAGAGGGAGAAACCGTGAGTGGAGATGGCAGGATCAAATGCGGAAGTAACAACCAAACCATAAGCCAACTCTAGACCACCGCCAGACAGTGTGAAACAAGGCGGTTTGGAGGCTGCAAACACGGGAGATAAAGCTGAAAGCACTTCAGACTAATCACTTTATTTGCGTGCACTTGGCGTGCAGGGTCTTGAACTTCTGAAACATTTTTTTGTGCTCGTGTGCTGACGTCACGATGTTGTTCGGCTTTTCGGCCAGGGAGCTCTCGCTCTTCCTTCTCATCTTGGACCTGGCCATACAGCTTACATAATATAATAATATAGTATACTTATGTAATATACATTAATAATTTACTTTTATAGTTTTAAACATCTGTAGACATATGTAAACTCACATGGGCGCAATATATGTATGTTCTGGCATACGTGCATGCACTCATAGATAATTTTGGGTAGAAAGCAAACACATAGACACGTATGCATGTCTAGTTGCATGCATGTGTGGATGGATAGCTATGGGCAGCCTGCTTGGGGGGTCCTGCTCACCGTCTCAAAACGCTTCTTCAGGGGGTGCAATCCCAGAGTAAATCAACGACGTGTACAGCACTGAAACGATTTTCAAGATTATGGGGCACCTGAGACTGTACCAGCTGCAGCTTGTCGGTCTGCGAGTGGCACTGTTGCTGCAAGCCTTCCTCAGAGAACATTGGCTTTCCGGCAGGCTGGCTCAGAAAGTTTATCATGACAGCCAGGCTGTAGCTTCGAGCATTGTTTGCCTTTTGCTGTAGCTTTCGATTCGCAACGGGTCAGCTACAAGTCTCGACTTGCTCCATTTTTCACCTGCCTGGCCAGTCTGGTGCATAGCCATTCCTATGTGTTCAATACATCTGTGATGCAAGGGGTCAAATGCCCGTCACAACTTGGACACCCCAGCTTACTCACACTCGCTCAAGGCAGGCACACGGGTTCAGGCACAAAAAACATCCATTCGATCGACTACAGGACGAGGGACCCTCGGTGCCAGCTAACATGTACCAGTAGCAAGCCAAACGGTTTAGGGTTTAGGGTATAGGGTTTAGGGTTTAGGTTACCCTAACAACCATGACATACTTACAATGAGCTACGTCAACATTCACACCCATAAATCAGCACGGGGAGGTTTGGGAAAAGAACGCTCCTTGGACACGTTCCGTTCACTTGACTCCTGGCAAACTGAAGGGCTCGAATCCTTTGTCGAGGCTCGATCTTCCCCAGCAGCTCTTTGTTGCCTCGGAAGGGGATCTCCATGCAATGCCAAAGCACGAAAAGCAGTCGAACTACTGCTGTATGTCGGGGTTCCGAGATATTTGGGGGTTCCGAGATATGAAAAAGGGGTGTTTCGGGGGGGTCCTGAGTCTGACTGTGAGGGATCTTTTGATTTGGGGTCTAAGCTTTTTGTTCGAGCCTCTCATCTTCTGGACATCCCCCGTTTAGAAAACCCTCCTCCATCGCTTTTCCGTGCCAACTTCAGTCGGGCGGCGTTCGGTCAACTTCTGGGCTCGAATCTGCTCTGCCTCGAGTTGGCTGTCGGGCTGCAGCCTCGGCTTAGGCTTTACAGGGGATGTTTTTTGTTTGATCTATACTTCCATGGGGCTAAGCACTCAAGGTTTAGGGCCGTGTTTTCGCCCCCCACCTAGCTCTGACGAGCCCGCGTTGCAGGGTTAGGTCTCAGACCACCGTTGAAAGGCATAAGTGTCTTCTCCCTCCAACCCGCCCTAGGGATGAGGGTTTAGGGGATGCCTGTGTCCACAAGTCTGTTGGATGAGATGTGCGGGCTCGGCTTCAACGACAAAGGTCCCAATACAACAACAGCTATTACAAGGCGGGGTGTAAAAACCTCATCGGCCTGTACCGCAAAGACTTCGATGAAGGTACCTTATTCTGTAGCTCTCTTCTTGTGAAGTTCTACCTGAGATTCCCATGTCTTCTGAAGTTCCCAGATGCGGGCATGCCACAATGTCGACCCCGGCAAGTCTATGCTGGCAGGTGACGACATCAGCCCTTTGACCAGGCGTCTCCAACGATTCGTCATCATCATTTCTCTGATCCCTTCGGCTTCCTCCTTGCCGTAAGCAAAGATGCCAAACGCATTTAGGATTTGGGTTATGTGGGTTTAGATGGGGTGAGGGTTTGGGACCTAGCTTTCCAGAACTTCCGGCCGTGCTGCTTCTTCGTCCTCGCCCTCGCTTGCTGAGTTGGCTCCTTGGCACGCAGGAGACACAGCCACTACGTCGTGGCAATCATTGAAGCTTGGCCCCCCTGTCAGCCAAGTTGCGCTGGCGCTTTGGTTGGAAAGAAATCTCCAAATCCTGGTGCGATGCAAAAACTTCTGAGCTTGGCCTGAAAAGAAACATGTGTTACACATCAAACAAAGCACACAGCACATATCAGTGCAGCCTGTAACGAGCTGGAGCTGCTTATGCGCCGTCGAGCAAAGACTTCCTCCAGGGCACACAACGATGGTCACACAACTTATCCAGAATCTAGTAAAGCCTGGAGCCAAGGGGAGCTATGCCTATACGGACGGGATGATTCACGCATGTCGACGTCATCTCCTGCGACTGGTCTCCGCTGCCTTTGTGGAAAATGAGCAATCAAAGTTGCACACCATCGTTCCAGGGTTGATGCCAAGGTGCTTTCCAAGAGCCAGATCTGGTTTCGAAGGTCTTGGTTCTCCTTGGCGGAAAATCGAACTTCGGCATGCTGAGCCAGTTTCTTTGGGCTAACCCATTCTTGAGGCCGAAATATTCCGTCGCGCATCATGTCATGACTGACCTGTATGCTGGCCCACCCTGGTACACTCCCTGCGTGTGCGTCGTGACTTCGCGTGACAAGCATGCGGCCAAGCCACCGCTTCCAGCCGTGCGATTTCGTCCGGGATGCCATCCATGGAGCGGAGGCTCATGGACTGCACAGGATGAACACGGGCTGTGCAAGACGACAATTACACAACAAAGTCGGTTGTTGTCGTTGTTGTTATAGTTACAAACAGAAGCTTAAGTATAACATTGCATATTGTTCTTCTATGGCAGTAACCTCTGCTCGTATTCTACTACATTAGCATTATTATCGCAATGTTCTTCGAGGCTGCCGAGTTTTTAATCCGAGCCGAGCCTGTGCTGGAAGCAGCTCTCCGACCGTGGACCGCCGACCTCGACGAGAGGGTGCCCACGTTTCGGACATGCCCGAGTCCTTGGCTTTCCAGCGCTGTCTTCACTTAGGAATTTTCGAAGATTATGGGGGGTACCTTATGTCGGCGTCCTTATGATCAGGATCCTGCTGGGTCCCCTATTTTGGAAACTCCCACTTCAGACCCTTGGCCCTTCGCATCGAATGGTCTCATCGAGAATCGAGACATTCGGGAGTCGATTCGCAGCTTCTCCGAAGTTTCGATTCGCACAGAAGTACAGGATAATGCTGACAGTGCCAGCAAGCGGAGGATGTCAGAGAGACAAAATCAGAGCAGGAGAGACGGAATGATGGACTTAAGCTGTAAACTTAAAGCGCTCCCTCAGAACCCGTGCAGATACAAAGAACCCGTAAAGATCCAACATAGGACTGTGACATGCAGCACATGCGCATGGACTTGTGGCTCCGAGCGGCTTCATCTGAAGACTCGAAGTCTTCCCCGGGAAGAAGGCTGAAACTGGTTTCGAGGATGGCAGTTCTCCTTGCAACGGAGACATGTTCATGAATGCATACATGGCTTATCATGGCTTATGTGGTCAGTCATTGCAGCTTTTCGCCATCGAAATGCGCAAGACTGCAAAAGTTCAGTCCTCTGCTGGCTTCGTGCAGTGGCAGCGGTGGAGCGTCGCTGGTCGAGTCGATTCAGCTGTCGCTCAACCTGTCGTTCAAGCTTCCGAACTGTGCCGACTTGTGACACAGTCGTGATGACTGTCTTCCGTCTTCCACCTAATTAATTGTTCACAACATGTCTCTCATGGTGGGTCATACATTGCATTCTGAACACATACCCAGGCATGGTGAGGGCCAGCATCATCGACATAAGCGCTGTCGCCAGTGTGATGTCTGTGACAGCTATGACTCCGACGGCTAGAACTGTCCGCACCACATTTTTTTCACAACCATTGCTACAATCATCGGCAATTAATCCTCATCATCCTTGATATCGTCATGGCCGTGGCCAATAACCCCGGCACCACGGACAACAGTAGCTTCTTGCTGTCTTCATCATCAGCATCATCGCCAGCATCGCTCGAAATCATCGCTTCAACCTCGTCCCCACGATCAACATCGGAACCATGCCTGTCGCTGACTCGAAGAATGCATCATCTTCATGACTAGCTGCCACATCCTCAATGCCATCATCGTGACATGCAGGGCTTCGTTGTTCTGGCGGCACGGGTCTGTTTTATAGGCCACCACATCGAGACCAGAAGCATTCTTGGACCTTTGGCTTCGATCATGTTGAAGGAGCCCACGGTTGGAAGAGAGAGGCTGGGGACATGGCCCCGAGATGCCCCGAACAAGATGTATATGCGTCAAACATTACAAGAGATACCCAGATTTGGGGCCTGTGCTACCAAGGGGTACTTTATAGGAAACCGCTTGAGGGATCGACCTTTTTCATTCTGCAGTGGCCGAAACATGTCAGCTCTGGCCCTCGATTCCTCTTTTTGTTGGGCCCTCGGACCCCTTCTGAATATGCTGTGTCGATGCTCACACTCGCACGCAGCAAGCGAGGATGCTGCTTTAGGGGTTATAGGGGGCTTCGCTTTCGGCGCTTTCTTTTGCCTCCTACTTCGGCGCGTTGGGCGTAGGGCTTGACTGGCATCATCACCATCGTAGGTATGTGACTGAGAGTCTGAGAGTGGCACGAAGAGTGGAGGTTCATGTGAAAGTGCACAGTGGCCAGCGAACGAGTCAGTAGCATTACGGTCGCATCATTCAGGCTCGCAAATAAATCATGTTGAATTTAGTTGAAACCCACAATAAGTCCGGTGTCCCTGGTCACCGTCGATGTCAATAACCCGCATTCTTCAATCTCGCCGTGCTAGCTTTTGCGAAGTGGCTGTAAGTCGCTTCACCGTTTTCTCCCCGCTAGTTGTATGTCAACAGAATCCTGACAGCCTGTCAAGGTGCACTACAGACGACACTGACTACATCCGGTACCAGCCCTGGCCTGGCGGTTGTTCCACAACTCTTGTTCCAGTGCAGTTGCTCGGTTCTCCTCGCAGAGCTGTGCAGCTTATCGTGACTGTCGTGGCTGTGGCATGGAGTCATGGAGGCTATGGCAAGCGCATGACGGTTAAGACTTGAACCTGTCTGCACTCCTCACGCTGCAGCCGCCGTCGCAGCACGAAGTTATCGATTGCCAGATTCTTGGGAGCCATGATCCTACCAGGCAAACCGGATGGTCTCGTTGTTTCGTTAGCAAAGCGACTTCGAAAAGATGCTGGCACTGGATGGAGCAGAAGTCCTGCTCCGTGCTCAGATGTCAGCCCTTTCCAACCACTGCGGTCCCGTTTGGAGGCGCAATCTTGCATGGCTCATGGCACGGCGCATGGGGCAGGCAGCCGAAGCCGGAATCCCATTGAGACAAAACAAAGTCGGCTGTAAGGGAATGATTCAAGAACCGATCATGACATGTCAAATTCTCCCAATAGCTTCAAGTGTAGCTGGCAAGCGCTGGTTGGAGCTTGGC